TATTGAGAAATATGATATCAAGTAAGCTGACTGCTTTAAATGTCTTATTTGTCCAAGTAACAGCCCAACATCGTCATATGTAAAGAATTACATTATCCACAAGGTGAAAGCTAGAAGCAGTAGATTTGGGGAATTTCATCTTGAAAAAAGTTTTAGTATACTGTGAACTGTTTTCAAAACTTGAAGTCTTCAAGAGGACAGAAAAGGTTTGAGGCTAAGGCCCATAGACAGTTTTAGAAAGAAGTTAGAAAGCAATTAGAGTCAATAGCATTTTATCTTTTTTCATGGGATTTACTGACAGCCATCCACAATATTCCCTGCCTTGATGTGTAAAAGGAGTCGATTTTGGAAACGTAGACAACTGAATCAAATGTATGGGAGAACTAAACAGTGTTAGTAGTGTGGGGAGTACATTCTGACAATCCCCATTTGGCCCCGTAGTAGAAACCAGGCTATTGGAAGTAATGTTATTATGGCTATAGGTAGCCTGACGGTGCGTTCTTTCACAGCCAACCCAGCTGGTGACGTCATGGCTTTTGTTATTTCAGTGGCGATCTCACATGGCCTCAGTTAAAGCTCTCCCTGCTGTGTGCACCTCACTCTCTCTCTCTCTCTCACTCTCTTCATCATCAATCTCCTTCCCACTCGAGGCGTCCCACCCTCTCCTCCTCTTTCAGCTGTCCCCTCCCTCACTCCTGCCTTCCATCTCTCCCACCCACCTTACCTCTCACTCTCTTTCTCATTTTTGTTCTGCTTCCCCCTTCTCTCTCTCTCTATCTCTTTCTTCTTTTTCTCTCCATACTCTCTGATTATATTTCCAGACAGACTTCATTCCTTAACAACTACAGACCTATATTCACCAACTCTTCCCATAATTTCCCGCCTCCTTTAAGTGCAGTCTTCTGTGTGAATATTACGACACAGCAGACTGAACTTCCTGCTGCTGTAATTTGTCACCACATCAAAAATTCACAGAGAAAATAGTTCACTTACTAGCAATTGCGTATTACTGTATTGAAAAACAATCAATATTTATTCAAAGAAACCTTCCCAAATGTATTAAATGTGCCCTTGCTAAAACCCATAAACTTTCAAATCCATAGGGAAGTTGTAATTAAGGGGAAAACAATGGTTTTGCCTGTCCCTATGTTGGAAGGTATAATTCCCAATCTCTGGGTTCTTGGATCATTTGATACCTCAAGTGCCAGTGTATATTTTCTTATACTTTCTGAATCATCAGGGATTCTTTCACCCTTAACCCCTCACCCTGCTGGAGGGGGACACGTCTGTCAGCTCAGCACAGAGGAGCTTTGAAGAAGTAATCAAAATCCTACCACAGGATGCTGCAACCCATCTCTTTTCCAGACATAATTGAGGTTTGCAGGTCTGAAACAAAGCAAAGTCTTGTCTCGACTCATTGACAGCGATCTCTAATACTTTAACCATGCGTGCACTCTCAAAGACACGGACATGAGAAGTGAAAAATATCAAAACTTCACCCGGACAGAGAGTATCATTTACACTGGTTTTCAAAGAGTTCTCTTCAAAGACAGTTGTGGGCTGCTAACTGAAAGAGATCATACACATACAGCACAACACCTGACAGTATATCCTGCACTGAGACCATGAAGCAGCATATGTTCTCCTGTCAGGCACTATTTCAACTGTTGACACATTTCATAGTCCACAAAACACCTACTGTAGTAGCCACACTGCCAGTGACTACCAGCAGTAGGAAAGCAAGACACTAGAGCTGATTTTAGGTCCCCAGCCTATGAATAGATAATTGTTAGTTCAGTGATCCGAAGACTTTGATCCCTGGGTTACGCAGGGTTGATGGGCATGCCACAAGATCACAAAAGGAAAACAATTACAATGTTCTTGGAGTTTTGCTTAACATAGTCAGACGCAAAAGTACCGAAACTTCTAAATTACAAGTTGCACATTTTCATATAGATTGCAGAGCAGGAATAACATAAAAAGAAAACTTTGAGGGACAATTATGTTAAACATAACCATTCACATGTTTTCACTAAAAGTGAAAGATTAAAATTAGACACGACTCAACTTCACAAGTGACTACATTTGAACCAAAAACTAGAACAATGCAAGTATTTTCCATCACTAAAGTTGTTATTATGAGACATGCAGAGTTAATGTGTTTAGCAGCTTGCAGGTGTTTACAACAGGTTATTCCAATAAACAGCCATCAGTAATTACTCCACTTGAACCTGAACCCAATAAATGACCCTCACTAACAAACTAATAAGCAGTACAATTATCTGACCCACTATACAACCACAGTTCTCCTTTGACGGCCAAGTGGTGAGGAATAGCCCTAATGCTGCCGACTCAGGACACACCAGCTGCTCCAGTTTCCAATAAAGTGGGTGGGGTCAAAGGTCGAAAGCTCACAGGTCACAACCTGCAGAGGGGTGAGGACCCTGCAGCAATGACGCTACCAAGCTGTCCCCTGCCATTTATATATAGCTGGAGTTGTAGCTGCAGTGTACGAGTGGCTCTCCATGGCATCTCCATGAGTACTCAGTAAGTTGCTGTGATTGATAACTTCATGTGGCAGAGTTAGAGCAAGAGTGTCATTCCTACACAAACTATGTGCTCAATCCAAAGGTCAGATGGGGAGATCAAGGCTGTTGGGAAAATGGAAAAGGGTGTTGCTGCTGCATCTAAAACTTAGAGGTTACTAAGTACATTTACTCAAGTACTGTTACATGCAACAGAGTTTGACAAAGTTGGATTATGGTTGGAGGTCAGATATGCCGTGATTATGGTCCATAAGGTACTCATAATAACAACACTAATTCATAACGTTAAACATTAAACTATGGTCAAAGCTTCATGGGAATATTCTTTGATGCTTACAGTTTCAGTGTACAGATATCTCCAAGCACATATTGTTACAAGTATGCAAACCCACTCCAAAGCTATTATGTAATCACACACACCAATTACACCCGAAGATTGGTTGAAAGCATTTAGAGTGACAATATATAGATGGGCTTATTTGTCACAGTTATTCAAAGTACTCTGCTGGTGTACAGCTGCAGTTCTTTGAAATTAGCACAGTAGTGTTTGAAATGGATGCCAAACTGACAATCGAATAACGCAAAGTCCATCTAATAAATATCCCTTCGTCAAATTTAGCACAGTCCTAATAAAACATTGCTTGTCCAGTATATCAGAATGGATAAATAAAACAAACCATAGAAGAATAATAAACTACCCCTTTTACTTTTTTGAGTTTGGTGACTGCATTACATTGGTAACTGAAATGCACAAAACTGCACTTAAGTGAAGAAAAGAGATCATTTAACAACCTTTGTCTGTGTTCCTTTGTTTTTGTCAGCTAGCGAGACACAGACAAGCCGAACACGTGTTGAACGTCACTGTCGAAAGCATTTATTCGATCGAAAATCCGTGTGCGAGCAAATGAGCAATGTGCAGACTGTTTGAGAAAAGTTCAGTTCTGAAGCCATAACAGAACCCGATGCTCCTAGAAACAGTTGAAATACAGAAACTAAGACACACAGGCAGCAGCCCCTCAAATAGTTATGAAACCAAAATAATACGGGGAGAAAACGTACAATTCGTATCGACTGCAAGGGACACCTGGCTTCATCTGTGTTTTTTCAGTTTTAAAGCAAAGCGAAAAAGGCAATGATATATTTTAGTAAACAGGTGCAGATTTGCAAAAGCTTCAACCTTCCATCCATGCATTTGCACACACAACCTCACAAACACTTGACAGCCATGCAAACATTTCAGCCTCAAAGGGCTTAAACTGTGGTCGCCAAAAGGTGAGGAAATATTTGCCAACCGACCTACAATAAAAATAAAGATCGAAAACAATAAGATATTATTGACTATTATCTTGAGCCGCAGGTGTTATGGAGAAGACAACTGTGAAAACCTTTGGGTTTTGTCCAACCAACAGTCCAAAACCAAACATATGTATCATTAGTGACAAAAAAGCAGCAGATGATCACATTTGAGAAGGCACATCTGTGGCACTTCTTCCTAAAATAATAACTAAAAATGTATTTAATGACAAAATATCTCCGATTAATTTTTTGTGGATCAAGGCGTAATATCAATGAATGCAAGCAAGTCAGTGTGTTCTTGAGAAGCTTATCACAGGTGTAGGAAGCTGTTTTATAGATTGACCACATAATAAATGTAAGTAAACTTTAAGAACTTGAAGGTCCATTACGTTTCTTCATATTAATTAATAAAGTCTCAAGCGTGAATAGAAATTGGGTTGTGGGTCTTCAAAACACATTATGTATTATAAGTATGCATTATTTGTGCATTATTGCAGTATTTTAAAATGAATATATAAACGTATAGATTTATAGTGGTAGGATGCAATCTATTTCTTCTTGTAGTTTGACTCCTCGTCAACATGTATACAATATATGGACTGTTTGTGTCTGTGATATTGGGTGGCTTATTCTAATAGTGACTGTATGTGTATCCGGTCATTTAAAGTGTCATTTTAGTATTTTTCTTAAGAACACTGTCTGATATACAGCCACCTTGAAGTAGCCTACCTTTTTGAAATATGACAGTGTGTGGTATTTTTGTGGCCACCCCATAGCACCTGTTAGAATATAAGGCTTTAATTTGCAAAAGTTTATATTATTGCACATAGGTCACAGACCATGGCAAACTGAAGAAGCGCCCTTAATTAGCGTAACGAAGTGATTCTGACATCGCTATGCTTTCAAAGAACGAGGCGGGGGAGAAAGGGGGCTGGCACCAAACTTAGGGGGAAAGTTTCAGGTTTTTTGGGTTCAGTAGCAGCACGTGGAGAAAGGAGTGGTCTGGGACTGGAATAATAAAACCTGGGAGACAGAATGGGAGGGAAGCGGGGCTCAGATTTCAGCCTCACAGGGGGTAAGGGGCTGGACTGATATTTGGGAATATACGAAGATTCATTGAAGGCAACGGGGACATAAAACTACAGCGTCTGGCCTAAAGCGGTCGGTGCTGAATTTCTGCTGCAGGTCCGGGTCCTGCCGCTGGATTCCCCCATTGGTTTTTTTTGGGAACTGTGATTGTCGAATGGTTCAGCTTTTGTAACGGGGGACACACACACTAAACACTGAGAGAAGCCTCCGATATCTTCGCACCTTTCTTTCTCCCTCACGGGCCCTGCATGTCTAATATTTAGACATGTTCAGAATAATGGATTCCAGGACTGTACTGCTACTCGTAGCCACTCAAGCCTGTCTATTAGCCGTTGTAAGATGTCAAGAAGAGGACCGTAAGTGACATTTAATTAATCTCAAAGAGCTTTAATGAACAAGAGCTAAAGTTGTAATACGGTGCATTTTGGCACAGGTTTATCTTGAAGCAAAGCACCTGAGCTTTGAATGGTGAAGTGCTTGTGTGTGGGCGCTTGGAGGGGATTTGGTTATCCCCTCGCACCTTTTAGGCGCATACAATTCATGATTGCCTGGATTCTCTGCTTCATGCTAATTTGTCTGATTGATGATAGTTGTGGACCTTCTGTCTACCAGGATTGCTTATGTTACTGTGCTTGCAAGGTGCGATACAACTCAATATCAGAGTTGGGTACGTGCGTAAAATTGATGCAATGGATGTGTGTAAGGTCTGCGCATAAATGAGTATATGCAGTTTATTATTGTTGCTTTTGTGGAGTACATCATTTAATTAAATGTGTTATTGCAGTTTGCATTCATTGTCGTTGAAGTTAACCTTCTGGAAAGCGGAGTTTCAGACTTTTATCCGCTACAGTGCAGTGCCTCGCCACCTCCCCCTTCTTTCTTAGGTTAAGCTGCCAGACACCTGTGGGTGCTTTAGATGCCTTGACAGACTCTCCTTTTAGCTGCAGATGCACTTAATATAGAGGATGAGAGGGGGAGGGGATGGGCAAAAAGTGAAAGGTGGTCAGGCTCAAGGGCCTTTAGTAAAAAGTGTTCACATTCCATTGCTGTCAGAGGGCATCCAGGCGAATCCTGGCATGTTGGGGTGGAAAGGTGGACTTATATCCGAAATTCCCATAAAAAAGTGTTTTTCAATTTATTTCATTTAAGAATCCAATAGCAGTTATGGTATTCTTTATACCTGCAGACGTTCTACTGTCTTTGCAGTATTTTAAATACAACTTGAGTAAGGTTATTCATCATCATTATTGATTTTAGTATTCACAGGAGACATTTGAGGGAGAAGGAGCACCAGCATATTGGAGCCAGAAATAACGTTCCATATGATTTCAGGATTTCCATCTGCAAAAAAGATTAGCCATAGGCCGTGACAATCAGCCCAGGGAGAGACAGAGCCAAGGTACCAGAGATAGCTGATTGGAAAATATTGGCTTCTAAAGCAAAGATAGGATGTATTTTCCTAGAAGAAAAAAGGGGAACATTCCCAAAGAAATTGCAAGTCTCAGGTTACCCTTTCCGATATCGAGTCCCCTGGATAAACTCCTCTTCTTTTCTCAATTTTAACTGGAGGCCAAAATGAATCTGGGAGACACTGAAGTGTTAAGAGGTCTGATTGTGAACTCAGCACAGCAGGCTCAATGGCCCCAATACACTCAGAGGGGACAGGGGTCACTCTTTAACTCTCAGTGTTGTGGACACTGACTGACTGTTCATGTAGGAGAGGAGCCCATAATAAGATGGGGGATCAAGGGCCTAAAAGTATTTAATACAGTGAAAACTGAGTTGACTCCATACTGTCCTCGAAGTACACATGGGTTCACTTTAGAATTGTCATTGTTCATTTTACTCCCCTGGAAAACAGTTTGGCTGCCAACACACGGGAGCTGAGACTAACAAATTATCCTCAGTGACGAAAAGCCAGCTTTCTATCAGCTCAGAAGTATACAGAGAAGCCCTTTACCCAGTATCAGGAGAATCTTTCATATTTGAGCCAATGAAGGGACAGGTGCAGTCTTCTGACAGTGCATCCATGCTTGTAAAACTAAATGTCAAACCTGCAAGGTATGTGCATAAAAGCAGACCTTTTTTTTCTCTGGTATGTTTGAATTGGCATCTGACACAGCTATGGTTTCCAGATGGGGTTTAAAAATATGCCCCATGTTGATTCAAGGCAATAGTTTGTGAATTGCCCACTCTGTCCCCTTCCAGAAAGACCTCATTCATTGCTTCTGAGGTCCGTCGGGTTAGCTAGACTTAAGCTGAGCTCAAAGGTAAATATAGCTACTGTACTTGCTCCTGTTCCTCACGGTATGAACCCTGAGGCCTTTCTTTTGGTGGAACCACTTTCACCCCTCGGTGTGGATTCAGTGGCTCCAATCAGAGCATTTCTTTGAGCAACTGTTTGGCTTTCTGTTGACTTTTTAGGAAGCTGTCAGACTGGAAAATGAACAGGAATATGGCTAATTACTGAGTTCATTGTTAAATGTCCCCGAGTGGTGTCATTTACAGCTAGTACAGTACCTGCATTGAAACAGGCCCCACCTCCATCAGGTTCAGCTATGCTCACTTTGCCAGGCTGTGGCCTGAAAAAAATGTCATATACTGAAAGCACAGTCTCCAAAAGTGTAAACTAGGCCTATATTTAACTTAAGGAATTTAGGTCTCCAGCTCCTGTGAAGTTTTTGGAGGTTTCCTGCAGGTCTTGCTCAGCTGTGATTCTGTGAGGCTACACTGCCACCCTGAGGCCGTCTCAGAGGTTGCATTTGTGTGGATTCATTCAATAACTGGACTCAGTGGTGCTTTTTTAAGATGATTTTGGGGAGTCTTTATCTGATGGTGTACTTTATAGTCCAGAGATAGACAGTAAATGTGGAGGGAAGAGAGGATGTCAACAGAAGGGCAAAAGCTGCACTAGAAAGTTTCTGTTTTAAGCTGCAACTTTATTGATAAAATAACTATGAATTGGAAATATTTGCTAAAGTTTTAACATCTCAATTTTAAGATGTATTGGTTTTCTTTGTCATCTATCATAGTAATGTGCATATTTTTGGGTTTTGGACTGTTTCATTGTTGTTGGATAAACCTAGCAATTTGAATATGTCAAATTCAGTCGATTTATCAGTTAATCAGGAACATAATTGGCTGGATAATCAGTTGTGAAAATAAAAGTTAGTTGAAGTTCTAATGTAGATGTCCTTTGCCCCCTTGGCAAATGTGACACCCTGGAAGATGTTTAAGAGAATGTGTTGATAGAAATATACAAAACTTTAAATTCGTCATTCATAGTTTTGTATTCCATAACAAAGAGGTTTGATCACTGATCAAGTCCGTTTGTTGCCATATGCCCATCCTAACAGCTCAATGAAATGTAAACAAAAATGTTTTGTTCAAGCTTGTACTGGTAATGCACTGCATATGTGTTTAATAACTAAACAACATATTATTTATTTTGCTATACATCTCAAAGTCTTACAGTAAATACAATAATAGTTGTTGTTTATGTTTAAGACATTGCAGTGACTGCTTTTCATTCCTGACGCATAATCTCCTTTTTCCTCCCACCATCTACCTGCCTTGGCCTCTGTGTGTCCTCGTCTATGACCTCACACACAGAGGAGGATGTTTTAAGCTGTTTACAAGATGGACAGCGCTATAGTGACAAGGACGTATGGAAACCAGAGCCTTGTCGCATCTGTGTGTGTGACACTGGAACCGTCCTGTGTGATGAAATTGTCTGCGAGGATCTTAAAGACTGCCCCAAACCTGAAATCCCATTCGGAGAGTGTTGCCCCATCTGTGCACCTGACCATTCTCCACCCATTGGTCGTAATTTATTTATCTCACATCTCTTATAAATAAATTGCTTTACAACATCATGTTGTTTACTTTGGGGATAAACTGACACATGGATATTTTTTTACTAATCAAAGGTTGGCCTCAAACACCAAAAAACGAAATAATTCATGCTATGTGTCAACCTTTGAATTGAATACAGTTTTTTTTATCCCCAAATCAAACAAATGATAAGAAAAAAACAGCAACAGTGACACATCTGACCATTTCAGTGAAATGCTACCTCAACGTAATTTTTCCATAGCTGGCTCACCTTGGCCCCATCTTGTTTGAATACTCTTTTCTTCCCTGAGTATCATGAAAACATGTGGGAATCATTAAGGAAATACCTCAGTGAAGCAGACACGGCTTCACATTTCTACTCTATATCCTCTCTGAGGATTTCTGCAGATCTGATGGCGAGAAAAACTGTGACATTCCACTGAAACTCTTTCAAGGAACTATTTACTTTGAATTTTTTCTTATAAACAAGTTCAGTTTGGTCAGCATTTGAAATGCAAACACAGTCAGTTGAGGAGCATACATGAAATGAGAAGTGTCACTGTTTGCAATGCATGCTTGTGGATTAAAATGCTTTATAAAAATACTTATCTTTCATTAAAGGCAAAATGAAGTGCTTAGTAAGATATTGTAAGTTATCATAGGGCTGGCTATCGAAACTATCTGTCAGATTCATATTCTTGTTTACTTATTTTGTAAATATCTGATTCAAATCAACATTATGCAGATTTTAGTCTGTTTGATAGATTCAAATGCCTGGAATGACTACTTCAATATAGAAAACATTTAACGCTTGGGAAGTATGGCTTCTTTATTGAAATGTTTATCTGGTGTTCTAGAAAAACATTGTTATTTTTCTTAAATTTATTATAAAATATACTATTTTGGTTCCATTTGTTCAAAAAGTTGCGGCATTATAACCAAAATACAATTATTAACGATAACCAGCCCTATCTTACTAGTATTCACATTGTATTGCTATTGCTCTTTACCAATGCTTATAGGAATGCTTTGAAAAATGAAAAACAATAATCCAGCAATGGCCTGCATCAGATTTATTGCTCTGAAATTGGCTATTACAACTATTTTGCTTCTTACTCTTCCTTTCACCTGCAGCCGCTTTGCTTCTGCTCTGAGCTCTTAAGATGGTGAATCGACCAACACTTTTTCATCCTGATGGGCTCTTTGGGTGCCACAAATACGATTAGGTGGTGCATGTTAGACTAGTTTAGTTTCGCAAAGTTAGAATTGCTATAAGCGCGTTTAGACTTTATAGGACTATGTGAAATACTGTGCAACCCTCTGCGATTGTTTTTGTGTATAGTCCATTCGCTAACTTTGATCTGTTTTCCCCTGTGACCTGCTTTACCACATAACAGGATCACCAGGAGCCAAGGTGAGACACCAGATGCTCTGTGTATGAGTGTGTGAGCTAGTGTGCATGCATATGTGCGTAAGTGTATGTAAGAAAGCTCTCCAGCACCTGCAATTTAATCTGTATCTATCCCAGACTCATATCAGTGCTGCTGGGTGACCCTATTCATGGATTCAGATGAGACTTTGATGTGAAAGAGCTTTGCCAGATGGATAATAGTTATTTCCTCCTCAACACCACATGCCATATTTATATGTCTAATGAGAGTGTAGGATGCACTTATTTTCAATATTTTGCTGTGTCCCAGTTTCCCTAAAATGTAAAATGTTCCATGAGAGCTGTTGTATATTTGGTCTCTTAAGGACAGGGGTCCAAATCATATGTGTAAGAAAAGACAGTCGGGGCCTAACTGGTTTTTAATATATCTATATTTTTGGTGCTCCTAAACCTAATTGCTGTTTTCCTACCCTGTCTTTCCTAACTTAGGGTCAGAAAGGTGAACCTGGAGACATTACAGATGTAAGTTGACACCACTCAACACTAAAAATACATTTCAATACATTGTTTTTAAATGCCATATCTTACCATTGACATACCAAAAAGTAAAAAATAAACAATATGAAAATAAACCATTACAAGTATGAGTGTTATCCTATTACACATTATACAAGGCACAAAGAACTTCATGAACTGATGAATTTGTCCCGCCATGTGCTTTGATAGAAATAGCTCATATTGAAAGTACATAATATGAGATGGATCACAGAGGATTCTCTTTACGCTTAAGACAAAGAGAGACTAAAGATTGTGATGATCTTTCTGACATATGACTTCATCGAAGTCTGAACTGAATGCGATAGCTTTGATTTCAATAATATTGAGTAATTGCACTTAGTTACATTCCATCACTCTGGCTAGCATTTTACCCCTGTCTATGGCTCTATTCAAGACTAGCCTTTAGTCATTAGAGACATACCTGAAATGACTGAGTCTGGAGAAATAACTGAAGAAGTCAAAGCTTTAATACCATCAGGAAGAAAGAAAAGGGAGAGAGGAGGAGGCAAGTCTGTTAGCCCAATTGTCAGAAGACAGCCAAGCACAATAAAGCCTCCATACAATCCTCCATAAAGATCCCCACAGGCTAGAGGAGAACAGAGAGAGTAAACTCACTGCTGCTGCTGCTGCACCTGGAAATGCTTACCCCTACAAGTTCAAGGCAGGAAATAAGAGGGCATTGTTTATTGTACGTTTCCTACAATGCCATGCCCGAAGAGATTAGCAATTAACAAGCCTGTTCTGATAATGCTTCCCCTCCGTGTGGCAAGAGAGTTAAACCTCACAAATACATCTGGTTGAGCAGGGGTGGCCAATACGTCAATCGCAAAGGCAGTGTGGGTAGATCGCATGGCATTGAAAAAAAAAGAAAGAAAAAAAAAAAAATCTTTTTTTTTTTTTATTTTAATTGTTTTAAAGTTAGCCTATCATCCATCCTTACTATGGCATTTGCCACTTGATTGACGTACAGGTAAGCCAGTCTGAGTTGTATTGTGCCATACGGGTTCATGCAGTTACGAGGGGGCCTCACCTCCTCATCTGAAGCGCAAATGCGGCGCACTATTATGGGCTTATGCGGCGCAATTAGTGTAAGCGCGGCACAGTTTATCCGCCGTTTTAGTCCACTAGCACCCCCTCCCCCCCCGCGCTCGCGACACAGATTGGGCAGGGGCGGGCCTTTAAGTTGATCTTTTGGGCTTGGTCACATATGCACAGTGGCGGCGCCAGGGTATGGCTGGGGTAGGCTACAGCCATACCAAGAAATGGCTTAGCCCCACCATGAAAAATTATGTTAAAGTAAACAAATTAAATGTTGAGAACACGGCTTGCGAAAATATACGGGTCGTGTCCACAACACACAAACTGATCCTGCTGTAACAACAAGTGCACGTTACTGATGCAATATGGTTGAGACCATTAAGAGGGGTGTCTAAGTAGTGGGGGAGTTTTATACACTAAAGGTGTGGAAATTCTCTGGCGTTATAATATCAGCGCAGCCGCGGTCAGATCAAAATGCCTCCGAATGCAATTTGAATAGACCTACAGCCAATCAGAGCAACGAAACGTTGGGTCTGCGTCATGCATTACTGATTGAGATCAATCGGAACCACCATTCAGTATCCCCATTGGATCTTCAACGTGTACTATCATACGTCACGTTCACAGTGATCCCTTTCTATTTACTACAAGACAAATGTGCCGTTTTATTTCATACAGTTCCATTTTGATTGAGACAGGGAAATAATCTAAACCTCACGCGTGGCGTTTCACTGTCAAGGGGGGCGATATAGCGTGTATGTAATTACATTGCAAATACTGACTTGAGCCCCACCACTGTATGGGTTAGCCCTACCATAGATTACCCAACACAAATACTCTGGATATGCAGAACAAATATATAACATTTTCTAACATCTTATTTTTTCTCTTTTTTGCTTGACCAGGTTGTAGGACCAAGAGGACCAGGTGGCCCAATGGTATGCATCAATTTCTGCATTTTTCCTTTGAAAGATTTTACAATTTGCTTTATATATAGACAATTTCCGACAGAAAAAGAGAAAATCTGCACAATAACCATACAAGTATTGTTGTAATTGCTAGTTGTAGTGACAGGAAGTGTGATCTGACTCAAAAGTGGCAGAGTTTATATCTGATTCTGATGCACCTGAAGTTTAACTACTTCCCTGTCTCCTATTCTCCAGGGCCCATCAGGAGAGCAAGGAAAACGAGGATCAAGAGGAGATAACGGGGAGAAGGTCAGTTAAAACAAATATGAAACGATTTTGCCGCTATGTCTTATCATTTTCAATTCAAAAACTAGACACACACTCTGCTCCTTTAAGAATTACAGTATGTCCTATTGAGTGCTATAGCTTTAGGTCTTTGGGGGGGGGGGGGTGTGGTGGGTGGATGGGGTATCTGCTGCAGCTTGCAGGTTTGCAGAATGGTAGCCTTTCATTGAGCAGCTCAGTGTAAGTAGTCATGTGTCGTTCCCATTAGGTTGTGTGGTCTGCTGAGGTCTGGGTTGTTTAACAGATGTGGGACTCTCAGAGACTCATAATGTAAACCTCTGCTTCTCTCTATCAAGTCAGTCAGTGTGGGAAATCAACATCGCCGCACTCACCACGCTTTGATCATTGCATTAATGTAACAACACTTGGAGGTGATAATAGCTTCAGGCAAGGAGTTTATGTCTTGTAGTATTCTTGTTTATGCAGATTTAAGCACAAAGCAGGCTTACTTTTGGCGAGCAGAGGTTGAGCAGCCTTTTAGGTGTGCAGCACATTCTTTGCTCAGGATCCCCTTGCAGGGTAATTTGTCACTACATGCACAGAGGTATGCCAGGTAGTCTGATTTGGGCTGATAAATCTACAACCTCTGCATTTTGAAGGTTTTTGAATTCTTCTTAACCCTTAAATATCATGTTTAGTTCAGTTCAAAATGACAACCTTCAGTCCTGATGGATCTCTGTTTGCTACCAGCCGGTCATGTGTCGTCAAGGTTACTCGTGTAGACAATCAGAGCAGACTGGAGAAGGATCAACTGAGCATTAAGCTTCTGTCAACAGTTCCTGACTAATGTAGTCCAGTGGTGTGTCGTCTGCCAGCAACTGTGTAATGATTTATTCAAAGTACTTCTCAGCTATAATATTGGCACAAAGGCCTGAAGTGAATCAACTGTGACTTGTAAAGATGATTATTTAACACCATCCTGTGCTCAAACAGTATGTGCTTAGAAATTCAGTGGATTTGGTTAATTTTAAAGTTGATATAATATCAGAGCCAAATGTTTTTTACTCAATGATATGTATTTTGCATTTGGATATCATATACAATTGGTAGTCTCAGTTGTCACGAAGCATATTGTACATAGACATTTTTAAATATATTATATATTTGAGTATAGCGTCAATTATTATCAGATTTAGTAGATGAACAGGATTTTAGGAATTGTTTGTGTTAAATGCCATAAAGTTTCTTAAATTAGAAAATGTGCAATGTATTGTTTTTTTATATGAAACAAACTAAGTTTAACTTAGGGTTTGACTTTGGGAAACTATATATTTGTTTCACTTTTTATGTACCCACTAATTGATGGATCTGACTTATTCTCAAGAGCTTGTGTTGTGGCGATCCAGTACTCACAACAGGAAAGAATGAAACAGAGAGGAATCAATGAAACACAAACACAGAAATAGTTGAGATTAATCATTATTATTTAGTTGCGCACCACCAAACAACAATGGGGAAACATTACCTTGCTTCAACAGCAACCAATTGCAGAAATGCCCCCACGAACACCAGAAAACACAGGGCAAATATAGGTTTCCTAAATGACACACAAACATGTTCCCTAATCATGTTTAACGCACACACATTGTCAGTTCTCCCAAACTTGGACATGTTCCAGATGTCGAAAGGTCATCATCTCATGACTTCTTTAGGAGTCTTGCAGGATATAAATCATCCAATTAACAAACTATATATACGTCTGCACATGAACGCACATACATTTCTTCCATTAACTAACACTTAACTGTATTATAACTAAATGTAGCCTCTTTGCATTTCCTCTGAGCTTGGCGTCAGCTCACTTAACGTAATAATTAGCAAAGAGGCGATTCTATGGAAACTGTAACTTAATAACATACCTAGTTACTATGACTAGGTCCAAGATTGATATAACATTTGCATCATTGGTAATTTCAGTTACAAATAGGAATAACATTGATCATTCGGTATGAGCATTTGATTTATTGCAATATTATCTATTTATTTCAGGGAACCCCTGGTCCCCGCGGCAGAGATGGTGAACCTGGCACCCCCGGAAACCCCGGACCCCCTGGACCTGCAGGGCCTAATGGACCCCCTGGACTTGGTGGAGTAAGTATCACATGACAAAAATGGGCGGGTTAGCATTCACTGAAGACATAGGATCAGACAGGTTGAACACTGATGCAAGGCCAATAATGGGTTTACTTGGATTGGCCGGAAAGGGAAGAGAAGATGGGAAAATGGAGCCGGGAGATAATCGAAGAGCACGAAAGATGTGGGACATTTTTGGAGTTGGGAGGAGGCAGAAAGACAACAGCAAGTAGATGCAGAGAGGGAGAATAGAGCGAATGCCTCTCATTCTTTGTAAGAGAAAAGGAAGGAGGAGGTGGAAGGGCAGGAGGTAGTATCATAGACTTGGGGAGGGAGGGGAAGGAGCTTTTCCTGGGGGGGAACAAGGAGACTCTTTGTGAAGAGGAGAGAAATGAAAACTGTTCACATGCCCTCTGTCTCTCGTCCGTCTGCATCAGGATTCACATAATAAGCTCTGCTGCCCAAATTCTATTAAAAGCTGATCCTGTCTCCTGCCAAAATGACACAGCATCCTCCAAACTCTGCGAATAAAAGACAGCATATTTGGCTTCCAGAAAAATACTCTTTGGAATAGACACTGAAACCAAACTTTTAAAGTTAATGCAGTCTTTCTTCTCCTTTTTTAGCGGGCCTGTTATATATTCCGAGCAGATGCTTTACCCTGCAGTCAATCTGAAATATTGACCTTAAAAGCCTAATCACTGAGATGTCTTAAATGTTTTTAAAAAGTACCTGAAGATGGCCTTGTTAGCCGCATTTAGAGCGCATTCCATAAAACAGCAATGCCCTGGGTGCGTTTCCGGCCTTAGGTCATTTGTTGTATGTCATTCCCCTTTCTATCCCTCTCTTCCCCCCCCCCATTTCTTTACTTCCCTCTGTCACTTCAATGCTACTTTTATATATCTCGATGCAAATCTTATTGATTCCTTTCCTTTGCCTTTTTCAGAACTTTGCTGCTCAGATGGCAGGTGGATTTGACGAGAAGTCTGGCGGTGCTCAGATGGGTGTGATGCAAGGACCAATGGTGAGCGAGCGATGAGACCTGCTGCCCCTCCCGTCATGTGTTTTGTTACAGTCGGCTGCTTATGTATCTGCCTGGATGCTACAGTCTTGAAGTGGGTCAGGACCAAGGACAAATAATAACACACTGCCCTCCCTAATGAAGACCTGGGTAACAGATTTGTGCTGGAAGCATCTTGACCCGAACCGCATTTTTACCAGCTCAAACAACTACCCTACATTAAGCAGAAAATGTGGTTATCAAATGTGAACCACCTTTACCAGGAGAGCAGATACCCATAAGGATTAAAAAGAAAATCAAGGATGGGATGAAGACTAATTCAAGAATAATCCCAGGGATTTGAAGCATATCCAGTGCTTTTCCCCTTCCGTTGTTAATAGTTTTGGGAAGAAAAAGGTCGGTCCACAACTATTGGAGACAACACACAGCTCTAGGTCCTCTTGGAAAAGAAACACCTCAAATGGAGTACAGAGGGTTATTTCTACAAATTGAGGAAACAGCCCTTGATCATCATTATATTTCAAGCCCATGAAAAACCGCCGCTGCCGACGGGAAGCTGGCACTGCAGCTTACCCGAATGGAGCAAGGAGCACACTGGGAGCTATTTTTTTTTGGTTTGGAGAGCCGCAAAGCAATTTGGCCGAGTCTCAGCCCAGCAGAAGTTTGAGAAGCGAGGACTGGTGGGTGTGGGGGGGGGGGATTAGCTCCACACAGCTAGCAGCCGTGTGTGTGACTTCACTCCCACTGACTGTCCTTCCACACGTCTGTCTAAGATCTAAGCCACAATACTGGGTCTTTTTGAAGCCAGCCCACATTTACTTTGGCGTTGGTCGGATAGAGCAGTGAAAGAAGAGACTGAACTGATGTTAAATCAAAACCTAACCCCTTATTCATTTGCTCCTACACCTACGTACCTATCCTTCAAACAACACTCCTACTCAAACAAATGCAAACACACATAAGTTTGCATGTCTCCCAAAAACACATTTAAAAAGTGCTGAAGATATAGAGCCCTATTGATAAGTCTCAGTCCGCTGTGGTTAATGGCTTCCCACACCCCCTGAAAGCTTACTTTCATTAGTTTCTGAGGACCACTGTGCTGCGTTTTCTTTGGCTGCCATCCCTGATTTGATTTAAGTAAAACCATGATGCTAAAGTGTGGTTTTATAAAAGCAAGCCTGCTGAGAAGAATATGTTTTCATGCAAAAGGAAAAGCTGTCACGAGGAATCTGAATCAAGTAACTGAAGACTTTTACGATACCAACCTCTACAGTCCTATCATTCCTTGAACAGCTGATTGTTTGTGTATATGTGTGTCATATAGAAAGGCAGACGGAGGGAAACAAACATTCGGATTTGGCTCATCACCTCCACAGAATGTCATTTTCTGCTGTTAAGCAGTGATGCATGAAGTTGAAGTAGAAACTACGCTGGCGTGTGACTCCAGCCAGAAGCAAATTAAGGTTGAGAGAGAGATAGTTTAGTTGAAGAGATTTCACCTTTTGTTTTGTGCCCTGAATTCTACCATTCTTAGATGAAAGATTTCAGCTTCATTGCTGTTTTTCATTCCATGTCAAAGTGTAACAAGTCATGTGGAGTTCAAACACTCCTCTTAAGAGTACAGCACTACCACTGCCGACCTTTGAACTGTAGAAACACGCAGCAGGTGGGAAAAAGAGCTGCGAGAAGAAGATGGAGGGGGGTAGACAGTAAAAAAAGGAAGAGATTGAAAGCAAGAGACTCACTGATTGCAGCTGAGGAATTTCAAACGATTTATGGATTTGACAAGCAGAGCCGTTGAGTTTGTGTAGCTTCAGGGCAAAGCAGGTGATATTTCATTATATTTTCTGACAGAATTTCAGTCGACAAAAACAAGTCCTTTCCCCTTAATACCCACACTCACAATTGCAAAATGTAAAAATAATAACGATGCAGTGGTGTTTTATGTGTGTGTGTAGTGTACTGGTAAAATATGTGATTATATGTGGTTAGTCTGACGTTGTGTCTCTTGTCTCTCGTCTCCCCCTCAGGGCCCCATGGGACCCAGAGGACCACCTGGCCCCAGCGGATCACCTGTAAGTACCTCCTCTGCGCCCCAGACAACACGAGCAGCATGCACCTGTAGACTAAATCCTTTGTTCGGCCACAGACAGGCTAGGCTAAATCTCTTAATAGTAACATGCTTGATGCTGTGTAGTGTTCATAAGTCACATTGTCTACTTCCCCTGAGTGTATTTAATACCAATAACGACCCCAAAATGACCAGTGTTACTCTGCCACCTCCAACAAAGCGAGCATACCACAGATAAATGCGTACACACAGCCCTGTTTTTAACTGCGAGGGTCTGCTGTTTTCCGGAGGAAGGTGGCACATGAAGAGTATACTTTAGTCTCACAGCTGCAGCCTGCAGGGCTTTCCCCCCACCACGACCGCGGTGAACTGTAGAACATCTGACAATTTAGCTTTCAAGGAGACTACTGGGCTTACACACCTCACACACACACACACCTTTCTCTGCTTGTTCCTGACACCAAGTTCTACCTGTAGCCCTTTGAGGCCTCCTGAGAAGAGCGATTAGGTTTTAGGCAATGCCAGCTGACATGCCTCAACTTGATGGTTTAATCACCCTGAGCCCACTTTTGGAGAGATTGATTTTTTCTTGGAAGTTTTTAACTGATTTTGGAAAAGGTAGACTTTCTCAGAATAGACAACATGACATTTTTAGGACATGTGTCTATGAACTTCATTTTGCTCAATGAGTAAATGTTCTTTATATGGCAATTCAACAAACTATTTCATTTTAAACTGAAAATAAGATTTGCAGTATTAACTAAATTTTTACAACATAAACAATATTTAATATAGATTGTTTAGCAACAGTTATCACACAATAAAAGTTGTCATAACAAGTTGCTCTAAAAAACATGGATGTTGAGTCTATTGTTTCCCATAGCCCAGATTGACATATCCAAATTGATGGATTTGTTTGACCAAAAGGAGAAAAGCCCAACATATTCAAGTACTTATCATATAAGATGAAAGAAACCAGCAAACTAATCTCATTTGAGAGACTGGAAAAGGTCATATATCAAAGTAGTTGGTGATACATTTTCTCTTCTGTTCAGTTCTTTTTGTTTGTATCCTCCTCTCAGTGACTGTATAAAAAAGTTGACTTTCTTGTTTCTGCATCCTAGGGCCCACAAGGTTTCCAAGGCAACCCAGGAGAGGCTGGAGAGCCCGGACAGTCTGTAAGTATCCCACAGGGTCAACAATGTGATTTATAATATATACTTACTGTACCCTATAAACCTCCTCTCCCTTTTTATCTTTGTCTTTTCCTTTCTTCTTCTTGTGACAAGTCAGTCACTGCTACCTCATTTCCATAAAGTTCCTAACACTTTCTAACCTTTTATTGCCCCCACTAACTTTGACTGTTTTATCCTTCTCAGTTTGACCTGCCAGCTTCTTCAATTTCAACATTGAGAGTCAATGCTTACAGTACAATGCTCAAACCCAAATCTGTGTGAATCTGAACTGGCCTCCTGCTGTTGTACAGATTTACAGTTTTCTCATAATTCATTATTCTTTTTTGACCCATCTTTTCACTGACAACTTCCAGTGTGGGTTGCAGCTCTCCTGTTCTGCCAGATAATTCCCTACCTCTCACATAACTCACCTGAGACAGAAAAATCCTACCCCTTTTTTATTTCATTTTTTTTGTCAGTCCTTCTTACAAGTCCTACTTTTTAGTTGTTTTTTGTTCATCTTTGCAACCCCCTCTCCACTCTTACTCACCCCAAACTAAGCTTCCAGAAATCCCACTACCCCTCCCCTGTTTCCCCCCTCCCTCAGCAGGTAGACAATGGAGGGTCTCCCCACTGCTGCGTTAATCTGCTCTTGTGGAGTTCAGATATGCCGCTTCTGAGGTGCCCTCTCCAGCACATCATTATGGCCGATTAAAATCAAGCTTCTTTCCAGAAAATAACTTGACACTTGTAGACGTGGGACAGAAGTGTTATTGAAGACCAAAGATGATTTAGGCTTTTGAAGTTACAAGAGCTGAACATAACCAACAGGATGCCTTTAATAGCTAAATCGAATCAGAAAAATATATTAGTGTTTTCAAATTAAAGTATAGCGGCAGTATCAATAGGCATTTATACACACAAGAGTGAGGAAGCTGAGAACCTGGCAGACAAACATAAATAATAACACAAACATCTGCATTTTTGGATCAAATAAGGATATCAAAGTATTTGTTCTATCTTCTTAAGCTGAAATATACTGTAATTAACCATCGTAATAGCGTCATTATTGTTTACGATTGTCATGGTGCTTTTATACAGACAGATGAGAAAGCAGAAAGCAAGATGATAATGTGTGTATTAACCGCTCTAGCTGTTTTTGATGAACTGCTGTAATGCATTACTAGTGTCAGCTTGTGTAAATGAATATAACACAGGGCTGGTTATAAAGTGGAAGAGAAAAGGAGTTGTCTCCACATGCTAAGAATTATAAATCTAAACTGTGGGATGCTGCCCTCTTTTGGTCGTGAATAGAAACTTGTGTCTCACCTTTTGATTGTTTTTCTTTACTAATAGGGCCCCCTGGGTCCCCGTGGCCCCTCCGGACCTTCTGGAAAACCCGGAGATGATGTAAGTGTGCCGGTTAAAACTTCATAAAACTGTGAATACCTAACCCACAAGCAAAAGGTCTGACAAGGTTGATACAAATGTAGTCACCGTTCTCATATCTCTGTACAATATCAACGTTTCTTCTAATTGTCCTCTAACTTTGACAAAGAAAATTGAGAAATAAATGCTCTAGTGGCCTTTCCTGACTCAACGAGCAGAAATACAAAGTCAGTCATATTTGTCATACTGTAGGTAAATTCTGCTTATTATGACGACTCATACCTGGCATTTTGAAACATAATAGTACAATGTAACACTTCCATTTCTGCCACCTGTTTTATGTCTTGTCCTTATATGTTTCTTTGTTAAGCGACCTTGGGTTGATGAAAGGCGCTATATAAATTAAAGTTATTATTATTATTATTACATAAATATTTACACAGTGTGACATTACACGTAAGGGTAGTACTTATAAAGTCAATCACAGTGTCTTTATTATGAATTGATATTATCGGCCGTTGTTAGTGCCTTCATATTTTTACAAAGTAAACTTAATTATTCTATTTCAATGCCCTACCATTTTGTATCTGAATATGTTTTTCAACATTAAGTTGTTCTGGCCCTATTTTATTTATTATAAGAGAAGAGATCCTCAGTCAGTCTGCTTAATGCTTTTTCTAAAGTGTTACAACAAATTGACATACATATTGCTTATTTACCCGACTCATCAGGGATCATAGAAATCAGAATGTAATTCATTGGGTTAGCCACATGATGGCAGCACCCATGACATTACACAATGTGCCCACTAGGAGGGCTCACACTCACCAGCATCAACTACACTTATAAAGTACCTACCAAATTTGAACTTTTTTTTAACTTTTTTTTCTGTTTCTGTTTTAGGGTGAGGCTGGCAAACCTGGCAAATCAGGTGAACGTGGACCTTCTGGACCTCAGGTGAGTTTTCTCAAATTGTTTCTGTTTTTAAAGTACTGAGTAGTTTGCTAAAGACGAGTCTTACATGACATACTGTTAGGTTGTACTCTGTTTGTCTTTCTGGTGACCAGCAACCAGTCTTGTAATGGACCTGATCTGGGGGAATTGCAGAATCTCTACCTGAATATGTATACTCTATAAGGATTCAGTTATATTGATACTGTTACTTCACAATACACTGGTAAACTGCCAGTGTACTTGAAATGTTTAACTTTACAATGATTGTACAAAAAAGCAGCTCTCAAATCTGCAATCTCAAAGATTGTGATTAGAGAGTTCGATTACTTTATTGATAATTAAAGGTAGGGTAGGTAAGTTTGAGAAACCGGCTCGAGATCGCTAGAATTTGAAAATACACAACCGGAGAAAATCTGCCACTTCCTTACAGAGCCCCTCCTCCAACACACACGAACGCACACATGACCAATGAGGGCACGAGATAAGTTTGTGCACAGATGGAAGGCTGACAGGCAGGTAGGCCATCCAGTTATTTTAGCCGGGCCGGCTAAAATGATTGGTCGTGCTTTTTACAGTATTACGGCTTCCACAGATGACATTTTTTTATGGATTTTTTGTCAAAGCACTTAAGATATTCATTGCTATCGGGATGTTAAGAGCATTCCATGGAATATAACAAAAAGTGTATCTCGAGCCGGTTTCTCAAACTTACCTACCCTACCTTTAAGTTATGAGTTACGTTAATCATCCCAAGCCAAAAATCAGAAATGTTTTTTCTCCCATAATCATAATAATAATAATAATAATAATAATAATAATGGGTTCCATTTATAAAGCACTTCATATTTGATTTCAAATCCCGAAGTGCTACAAGCAGTGAGCATGAACAGTATAAATAGACATTACACAACACGGTAGAATTAATAAAAAGCAATAAAAAATAAATAAAAGGGTGGTAAAAAGGTCTACCTTTTGCCATGTGGCCAGTATTAATTTGACCTAAAACTGGACCGGTATTTTTTCCATGTAAATAGATAAGCTAATATAAATGACTGCTTTAAAAATGGATTAATGTATTGGGGTAAATAAATCCTGATTCAATCTGTCCCTCTGGGTCCCATCAAGTGGAAGAAATCTTGATAGCACAATAATTGTATATCCTCACCTTCTTTCCCTCTGCTGTATATTAATCCTCTGCATCACCTCTCCTCTTGCATCTCAGGGATCTCGTGGATTCCCAGGAACTCCTGGCCTGCCTGGCATCAAGGGACACAGAGTAAGTGTGTTGGTCGTTTATTAATGATCCCCAGGAAAATGAGATGGTTGTTATTATTTTTCTAACTCTGCAATGTCTCTCTGCTCTTTCTTTTAGGGTTATCCAGGTCTTGATGGTTCTAAGGGAGAAACTGGAGCTGTTGGGTCTAAGGTAGGATTTCTTTTTTTTTTACACACTGTAATAAAAGTTAATTAAGGAACTGCTTTACTGTTTGTATGTCTAATCTATATGTGTTGGCAGTGGTGAAAGTTACCACGATAATAGACTGTTATTGAAGGTTGCCTTGACATACTAACAGTCAAATATATCTTCCTCTCTTTAGGGAGAGTCTGGTTCTTCTGGAGAGAATGGCGCTCCCGGACCAATGGTGAGTCATTCTAGATTACAATAACAACATGTGACAACAAGTAAAATGTCTAAAGATCCAGTCTTTGATATAAGGGTGAACTGATTGTAAAGGTTATATTCTCTTCTCCCTCACCTACATAGGGACCACGTGGTCTGCCTGGTGAGAGAGGCCGTCCTGGACCCAGTGGAGTTGCTGTGAGTGTCGACTTCTTATCTAAAATGTATCATCAGAATTACAGCAGATGGATTAGATGCTTCACTTTGCAATATCAAACCCTAACTCTGTCTACCACAGAGTTAGGGAGCATGTTCTCAGAGTATACTGTAATTTAAAGGAGTTATTTTACTAGGCCCTTGATGATAATAGCAATATAATTTAGTTGTTAATCTCAATTATGTCATTGTCATTTGTCCCAGTACTTATGCCGTGTTTCTTTAATTTGTAAAACAATGTTTTGATGCAATGTAATGATTATGTATTGTTTATTTCAGGGTACACGTGGAAATGATGGCTTGTCCGGTCCTGCTGGCCCCCCAGTAAGTATTGTTTTTAGTCCCATTTACTTCATTTTCATCCTTTAGTTTGTCATTAAGTAAGAAATACTAGAGATACCAATCGATCAGCCACAGGCTATGACAGCTCACCGTCCATATCAGTTATATATCCAATTTACTGGCGGTTCAATTTAAACACGTGCCACACAATGGTTTTACATTGAACATACATGTAACAGACAGTCAAGTTACTGCGACTCACACCAATATCATGTTGTTTGGTTGGTGTTCTTCAATGGGAGTGAAGAAGACATCAAACTCACAATTTGTAATACCTGGTAAACTGCCAGTCATGAGAATAGGTCATATAGCTTGATGCCGTTTTCAAGAACATGTCAAGTAATTTAAAAGTCAATGGATTCTTATGAACATTATAATTGAACTTGAATCATCCATGAAAGAAAAGTTCTGAAAATAAGTACGCAGGTCAGACTCTTAAGAAATAGAAAATAAGAATTGGCCGAGAAAATTGTAATTAGTGCATCTGTAAGATATACAGCTTATGAATCGATCCCCATTTCCTGATACACACAACCAGGATGTGTCAGTTATATATAGCCGAGCTGACTGACTGTATTCCCCTCTCTGTAGGGACCCGTCGGCCCCTCTGGAGCTCCAGGCTTCCCTGGCTCTCCTGGTACAAAGGTAAGTCACAAGTTACCTATATTACCTAAAAATTACTCACCTTTCCTGTTGTGTTTATTCTGTGAATGACATTAAGTAACTGGATCTGTCACTTCCTGTCTTTGAGAAAACTAACATGCCAACTTCCTTCTTCTCTACAAAAGCAAAGTTAGGCATATGCAAAAATGTGGATTTGAATTTTGTATATTCAGAAGAATGATTTATTGAATCAAATAAAGTGAATATTTAAAAAAGAAAAAGGGAGTACACAGCTCAGGGAGTATATTGTGGGGACAAGTTGAAATGCTTAGGTGAAATAGGAGAAGCCAGTGCTGCATTGAAAAGTGCTTTAAGCCTCCATCTGTGTGGAAAATTAAGGAGGAGGGGGTTCTAAAGTGTTATTCTCCCGCTCCCACTCTCACTTACTGTCTTTTTCTTCTTTTCTCTCTCTGCTTTCCATCTGATTTATTACTCCTGCATGGCAGACAGGCTCAGCTCTGTGCTCGAGGGCCCAGTTCTGGTGGTTTGCTTTCTTCAAGCCCCTTGATAGTTAGGGAAATCTTTCAGGAATTAGAAATGGAGTATCTCTTTACAAAATCCAAGAGTTTCCCTTGAAATAATCAAGGCTAAGCTAGGCTCAAGATGTGAAATGTGTGTCTGTGTGTGTGTTTATGTATTGTATCAACTTACATTCATAAACACTGAGTCCTAGAGTCTGTGAACCTGTGTGTGAATGTGTGTCTTTGTGTGACTTCATTATAATATTCTAGGAAGGGTCCCATGGGGAGGAATGTTAAAACTCTCATTATGTGTTATGGTGTTGTACCTTCAGGAGCCTGAGAGCTCATGAAATGTAGCCTTGTGTTTTCCTCTCTGAGCATTATGAGCTAAATTAAAAAGGACCCAAGACTAACACAATAAAAAGCTAGCAATACAAAAACAACACACTAATTGTAAACTTCGACTCAATAAACCGTGCTGTTGCTGAAATGAAAATATAAAACTAAGACAACTTTTACCCAGCTCCAATTGAAATTCTGCATTGTATTCATAAAAGCCAAGCTATCAGCTCTAATATGCGAAGAATTGTTTCCATGACCTTCCATAAAACTGACAGATGTTTCTTCTGCTGTCCTTTAATTCACCTTAGTTTCAGTGCCAGTAAAATATTGGCCTTGAAAGTGGAAAAATGTCAAAATATGACATCACAATTTTCTGTAAACACTCTGTTATGTCATACTATCGAGTCTGCAAAGTCTGCAAAGTCTACAAAGCTGCAGCAATAGAAAAAGAATTCCATTCACCAGCATACAAAAACTGTAAACCACATTTGTGGTTAAACCTCTGGATATTTTAATACTGAGGGCCTGCAAAACATTATGAACCTGGGTTTGGATTAGGGCTGCTACTAATGATTATTTTCATTATCAATTAATCGCTTTGTCTATAAAATGCCAGAAAAAACTGAAACATATATAAGATATATAAAAGGGAAAGACAAGAAAGTATTCATATTTGAGAGTCTGAAAACAGCATGTTGCATATTAAAAGAAAAAATTGTTGTTCAATCAATTATCAAAAAAGTGTGTGAATAATGTTCTTTTGATAGGCTTATCAATAAGACAACAATTTGTATTGCTACACTTTGGACAGCACACGTATACAAAGGAAAGAACAGCAATGACAAGACAAACAACATATAATTGTGTTGATTTAAATGCTACTAGTGCATACGCGATAAACTATGTAAAGGTGTTCTGTGTGCAATGTTTTTAGGCTAGATAATATGCTATAATTTAATTTTAGTCAGCCAAGTTACAGAATAATTATGTTTACCTCATCAATACAATTCTAAGCAAATATAAATAGATCTAAATACATCAGCAAGCCAAGAGTTATCATAACTTGTTCAAGTATCTTATTATGAAAAAGACAGTGCAAAAGATTTAAGATTGGCAATTATCCAATGCATAAAACATAAAACAGCACAATGTTGATGTAATAAGTGTACAAAGAACAACAAAGTTACACCTCAAAGTAAGATCTTACATAAAACATGAAATATGCCTCTATTGTTAAAATTAAAACGACATGTGAGGAAAATACTGAAAAAGCCATGTGTGTTAAATGTTAAATTACTGCTAATTTACTCCCATAATTATTTTCCTCCAGTTATACTATAACTTTATTTACTCCAATAATTATTTGAGAAATAGTTATGGGAGTACATTTGCTGGGTGCAAGACAACAGTGATGGGATGTCACCAAAACAACAGCAACATGGAGGAAACATGCCACAAAAACCAAACCAGCCAACAACACCTCAACACAACAGCAACTAAAAGAAAAATGAGCTTTGCAACTGCAAGGAATACATTCAATATTAATACCAAATAGTAAGAGGTAGGCTACTGCTGATGAAAGCCATTTAAGAGATTAGCAGCCAGCAGCAGAAGCTAGCAAACGGGAGCAAACATCTGCGACGGGAAACGCACAAACTCTGGCAAACAGACATCAAATTTCACATCAATGAATTGTTACAGTAAAGAAGGAAAATAGCCTTACTCAGTCTGGTGAAGTGAAGCAGAGATACCCATGGAGAGTGTTCAAAGTTTCACCGTCCAAAACTGTCAACAAAAGTCAGCAGGGAAACTCAGCTTCAGGTAAACACCGGGGTTGAGTCAAAGTTTGTTAGCGGTCGATATGTGTGTCATTTTAACGTATACACTGCGTGAAATGGAGCGGCGTTTAATGTAGATAACCATGGATGCATTGGATAACATTAAGGTGTTGACCAGATCGTGGTCTCAGCAAGAGAGATGATTCATTCCCTTCAATTTAGCTAAACCGCCATAATGGACTTGGCGGTTGGATAGCTTGTTTGTGAAATGCACGGCCATATTGTAGGTTAGCATTAACTGTTCATAAGAGTTAAGCTAGCTAGCCTGCTAATACTCCCCGGGTCATATGTGCTACTTTTCTGTATGTTATGTTCTATAATTAGAACTCATATTAAAAAAAGACTGTTAAAATTAAGCTAGCAAAAAAAAAGTGGACACTAACATCAGCGAATAAACTTCAAGTGTGAAAGTGAAAGCTCAAACTACAGTGAAAGTGGGCCTTGTCAGTTTTTTTTATTTAATATAGGATTATTACTGTTGTATTCATTATGTATGCATCACTTTATTACTGTAGTCAACTATGGTATAGTACAGAATTTCCACATTAAGTATTTGCCTGATTCATCTGTCTGTGTTATTTATTGCCAAGCAAAATGTATAGGCCAGGCCTACTTCACTTCTTGGTTTAGTATTACACCTCCATCTTTTAACAGAGTGCACTTTGTTATTCTTAATCTGCTCTTAAAATATTTACAATTTCAGGGTGTCTTTGATTGATTTTCTGTGTTGTCTTTATGAATGTCTTGCTAAGGTTTTGTTGCCATTATAAGTTATTTTACTTAAAATGAAAAGGCATTTTCATATGTTATGGCATGGTATTAACACTCATCTGACTGCCCACTGGCAGGTAAAGTTATCTAAAGTACCCTCTTTAAGTTTTTTATGTTTTTAAATGTATCAACATTTCCCACAGTCCTACAGTACAGATTGTTCATTTTTAAAGCCTTTTTTGGGGGGTGTTTTGGGATTTGTCTGATTACCAATTATTATATTCAATTCAACTTTCCAGGATCTTTGCTTTTATATTAATTTCCTATCATCTCTTTCATCCCCTTTGCTATCAGGGAGAAGCTGGTCCTACTGGTGCTCGTGGACCTGAGGGTGCTCAGGGACCCCGTGGAGAGTCTGGCACTCCTGGATCATCCGGACCATCTGGCGCTTCTGTAAGTGATGCTATAAACATGTATCTATCTAAATGTAGTTTACTAGCCCTTGCCCATTTTTACGTAAAAGAAAATAAATGTTTTAAAAATACACAGTATTTTGTGACAGGGCAACTTTAGTATTTTTCTTTCAGATGATTGATGCTGCAAAAAAGATTGTTATTGACAAAATATTCTAACATTGAGGATCAGACTGTAACTCCAGTAACCATAGCTTAATCAGGAAAAGTTATAATTTGTACAGTCTATTCACTTGTTTTGTCTCTTTTATCTACAGGGAAACCCTGGAACTGATGGTATCCCTGGATCCAAAGGATCAGCTGTAAGTTTAAAACGCTTAATTGTCTGAATTTAAACTGATAAACACCTACTGCAGATATTCCTAATCAACCATTATGTATTAGAGGTGTTGGGGCCTTTTTTAAATATCACTTTCATGTCTTCATTAATTGTCTTTTTAAAAGACATAGAGTTTTTATTGTATCAAACATGTACTACATTTAAGATCACCACACTATAGAATGCACAGTTTTGGGCTTGAGTAACATTTTTAATTCTAATTTCACTGTTACATGACCGGCACAAACTCCCTTTGAGCTTGTGAGTAAGTATGATTCAAACCTGCAGTTGTAGCCACTGATGCTTTTAAAGTGCTAATTGATGGCACTTAAAAATGGTGCCTTATTTACAGCAAGCAAAGGAGGAGTAACTATAAAAATGACACTGACATGTCATTTGATAACAGTCAAATCAATGGTAGTAAATAGAAGACTTCACCCATTGACTGATGTCATGTCTCTTCCTCTGTAGGGTGCTCCTGGTATCTCTGGTGCTCCTGGTTTCCCTGGACCTCGTGGACCCCCCGGGCCTCAGGGAGCAACTGGACCTCTCGGACCCAAAGGAACATCTGTATGTACTCAGTGAAACATTCATTAACCATAGATGACTACTTTAGCACTTTAGGTCCAGTTTGCAATTTATTTTTGCTACTTATTTCGTATTTCAAATAATAACATGTCACAGAAAAGATATAACAACCTGCTGCTCTTTCTGTCTTTTCATTGTTGTTTAGGGAGACCCCGGTATTCCAGGCTTCAAGGGAGAGGCTGGACCCAAAGGAGAATTTGTGAGTTTTCCTTTCTTTAATCTGTCCCTGTATACCCTCATCCAGTTCAAAATCCAAAAAGAGACATTATAAGTGCTTCTTGAATACATTTCTACTGTAGACACGGTATCGAACCAAATGATATGTTTAGATAACATACTTTTAAGATCGAAGAATTGTAAATCAACATATTGTAGATGAAAAACAAATCATATAAACCTAAAGAAATTTGCTTTTTCTTTGTGTGCTGAAAAATACTTTTCTCACATTTAGTCTATGTTTCTTCCTGTAACAATATTTTCTGTGGCGGATGTGTTTTTTAGGGACCCGTTGGTAATCAGGGACCTCACGGCCCACAAGGAGAAGAAGGCAAGCGAGGACCCAGGGGTGAGGCAGGTTCTGCTGGACCACTTGGACCTCCTGGAGAGAGAGTAAGTACCATCGAACTGGTTGAAAACAAGTTTTTTTATAACTTAAGTTATTGTGTAATGCATGGTTACACCGAATCAGAAAAAGGAGTTTCCTCCTATGTTCATTTGTAGTAATAGTTGGTCACCTCCTGTGAACCTGTTTAAGGACCCATATTAGATTCAGTGATTACGGTATTTTTTGGTATATTAATCATAACTCTGAATCTGGTTTTGTGTTTTCTGTGTAGGGATCTCCCGGTAACCGCGGTTTCCCCGGTCAGGATGGTCTGGCTGGTCCCAAGGTAAGTCACACCGCAGTCGCACTTGTTCCTGAGAGATATTTATTTTATTGCTGCTGCAACAGAGAATATGCTCTTGGAGAGAAAATAAACATTTAAGAATCCATAGCAAACAGACCTAGCAGTGGAAAAGAGATATAAGGAAATGTATGTCTCCTTCAATTGAAGCGTCAATAGACACGGGGTAAATCTGCTAAACTGAAAATGTATTGTTTCCATCTGCTGCATATTGCATTTTGAGATTGCTGTTGACAATGTCTTGGTCGAATGTTCTCATTGCTTATTGACCGCTACAGTGAGAAATATCATTTCTGTAGCACCTAGAGAGCAATATAGTACTAGTGCTGCTTAAAAATCGAATTACCACGAACTGTAGATCAATTTTACAATTTCATGTAAAAAATAATAATGATCATCATTACAATCACTACATCATTCATTATAAAAAACTTTAAACAAGTTACAAAGTCATTTGAAAAGACAAAAACTATAAAGAAATGCAAAATAAGTGTATAAGTAATATTGGCAAGTGAGATGAAATGTATGAAATCCTAAAGCACAGCAAAATCATATTATTTAAAGGTCCCATTTCATGCTTTTCCGGTTATTGCATTATTGTATTTTTCATATTTAAATCCATATTTGTAATTAGATATATTTTAGCAATTAGATATATTAGATATAATTCATTATATCTAATAAGTAATTATATATATTTTAGCAATTACAAACCTGAGGTGGAAGTCTATGTTACACTTGGGAATATGGGAATTCGTCATTTGTGACCGCACTGTAGTAAGGGCAAAAAAAAGTGGATGGACATGATTTTGGTAAAATAATTACAGAGATTTTTTAACCCAGTTGTCCATAGTGATCTCTGAAAGATAATTCATATTGTCAGCACATTAACTCATAAAAACTTTCAGAATAAGTGTTGGGCGCTCTCAAGGTTCACTGAACTCACATCAGCAGTCTTAATATTGAGTTAATGAAGAGCATTAGTCTTTTAATTGTTATTGTACAATGCCATGTCTTTTTATGCTGCTGCAACACAAACATTTCCCAACTTGGGATCAATAAAGTACTTCTTATCTTATCTTATACATTTGAAAATAGAAATGATAATTCAACATCACTCATGTATCCTCACTTTCACCTGAGACTCACACACAGGCAGCAGGGACACATGTAACTTCATGTCTTGGCCACCAGATGGCAGCATAGCTCAGAACCACGTCACACACTAGTGACCTAAATGTCCCATATCGCTAAAGCCAGCAACTCATTTAACATTATCTTCCCCAAACCAATTTCATTTATACCTAAATGAATCTGCCAGACTTTAATCTTCTCATTTCCAGCGGGTCAATGAAACTCCTTTAAGCTGTTAAAGAGGAAACTTATTTCCTCAGGGGTTTGAGAATTGAAGTGTCTTCCTCCTTAGTGATTGACTGAGTGTTTTATTATCTCTCTCTTCCTCCGAACACAGGGAGCCCCTGGTGAGCGTGGACCCGCTGGAGCGAGTGGAGCCAAGGGAGCCGGCGGTGACCCCGGCCGCCCCGGAGAGTCTGGTCTCCCCGGTGCCAGAGTAAGCATGTCCCTTACTTATAAACTACCAGAGATGTGAATGTTAATGACTAGAAAATATTTCTAGATGGATAACAATATCACCTTACTTTTTGAAGATGTCATTTAGCTTTGTTACAGGGTTTTGTAATTATTGTAGCGGTCAGCGTTAATACAATACACACCATTTCAGATGTTATCCGTTGTTCATTCTTGTTGCTGAATTTTTTTTCTCAGCTCACCATAGCCTTGCTGTCTTGTAAAAAGGATGAACTTCAAAGGTTTTTCACAAGTTCAAAGCATTTTCAAGAAGCACCACCACATTTTAAGCTCATGACAATTCATTTTTAGATAATGCAATGGGATTTTAAATGTATAATTTAATTTAGGAATTAAGAAGTTCTCAACTTAAATACACTTATTCAACACATTCTTCTTCCTGGTCAAACCTGGCGCCTACATTTCCCACAATGCAACTCACAACAACCAATTCAACAAACAACGGAGATTCGGGTTGTGCTAGAAGCGGCTAATGCAGCATTGAAATACTAACCACATCAGAGATTAGGAGCAAACTACAGAAGTCTAGCAAACTCACTTGTTTCTTACCGCACACCTCCAGATTTTTCCAATTTCCAAACATGTAGTCCTCAGCCCTAACGGACACTGATTTGAGTGACACGTGAGTCAATTTATCAGAATTGTGCAGCTCCCCTTGGAGCCACAAAAGACTTTACACAACTTATTCCACACATGCAGCAGCACTCCAGCAACATCTTTATACAGACTCTAATGAGTTCCCCTAACAAATACAGTTTGTCACAAAAACCCAAACTCACATAACCCTGAGAATATGGTCATAAAAAGTTTCCACTTGACGACTATTGTGCACCCCTGAAGTGATTACATTTCCTAAAAGCAGCACACGAGGTTGTTGATATTTGTATACAGCCACCACAGAGAAAGATTGAAAAAGCCCCTATAGGGAACTGAGCTCCTTCGGAAACCTTAAACCTTAAATACACTAATTTATATTTTACATTTCCATCAGTAGGCGCATGTTGGACACAGGGCCAATCAGAGGTGTACATTCAGTTCCCCAGGGTGCCATATGTTCCCACCTTTTTTTAGCAGGTGCCTGCATAGAAGTGTCTGATGACGCATGTGGATTTAATCTGTGTTTCCATCCTCCCTCTCTCACAGGGTCTGACTGGACGCCCTGGTGACGCTGGTCCTCAAGGCAAAGTTGGACCTTCCGTAAGTGCTCTTTTTTCCATGTTTTTAACCATTTGTTGCATCTTTGTATATCACTTAAAAATAATCGCGCATGTGTGTTGCCTCACACATTATTAGAGGTCGTATGTTCTTTTAATATCACAAACAGAACAATCAGGTAGAGCAGTATCATTTTACCAAAAGTGCTCTCATCAGGTAATGACCCATAAGTGGTTTCATCAAATTAAATTGCAGGAAATGTATCCACCCATTATCCACCAGGCTCATCCCCAGCGGTGTTGGTGTTTCAAATTAGCTCAACTGTCCTATTTTTCAGAGGGACAAAGTCTCACAGTGTAGATTGATTGAGGATTTTTCTCAAATCCACTTAGGCCTGAGTTAACAAGACAGGCTCCTTTTGTTAATCAATACTTAACTGAGTGAACAATTCTATACAACTCTTCACTGAAACCCCCGCAAACTGAATTATGTTCAATGGATTGGGTCCTCAGACGATCGCTAAGTAGCTCTTGCCATTCAAACATAAAGCATTGCAACCCAGTCTTTTCCTGTAAACTCAAAATGGTTTGAAATTAAAGTGTTTCCTTTAAATATTAAAAGGTTTTTATATTGGCTACATGAATATTATTTCCACATTTGTTGTGGCTATATTTAATTCAAAACGTTACAGTTAACTGACAGATTAGGCAGTTGTTTCATGTTGTAATTGACATATGGTCAGAGTGATCACAACGTCGGTTTCCTACTTTACCCCTGTGGATTTTGTTAACTTATTTATTTAGAAGCAAAGGACTTTTCAAGAGTGAGTAACTGTTTTGGGGTCATACTGGACATTTCTCTACTAGATCCCACTCCAAACATCGACACCCAATTATTCCTCTGCATTAAACATCCCCAGTCTGAGTGCATTTTCTCTATCTGGTCCTTACCTTTCACTACCAGACTCATGTTTTACAGCTACCTTTTACTATGTATAATGTTACATAACCACGTGATTGCTCATATTGTATGTTAAACTTAAACAACAAGAATGTTGGTCATCATTTATACTTTTTAAATGGGCTCTGCTAATAAATTATCATTACTTTACGTGACCAGGGAGGTTCTGGTGAGGACGGTCGCCCCGGACCCCCCGGCCCACAGGGAGCCCGCGGACAGCCTGGAGTCATGGGATTCCCCGGACCCAAGGGAGCAACTGTGAGTAACCAAATCAAAAGAATAAATTGTTAATACGTAAACAAGATAAAGGTGTTATCTATACAGGAACGAATGCTTAATTTTTTCATCATAATAGACTTTGGGCCGATAGAACTTGCTTTGTAGTTTTTTTGTCTTCCATACAAAATAAATCCCTGAATCTAGTTCAACGACACCTGGAGTACTGCTGAACAATTTTGCATGATTACATTCACCCTCTCACAACGGGTGCAGGACCAAGGAAATCAGCTCTGTGACTAACCGCTGCTTTTTGTTTCTGTTATGATCAGGGCGAGCCTGGCAAGTCTGGAGAGAAAGGACTGGGTGGAGCTCCTGGTCTGAGAGTGAGTTATTTAACTGTTCTTATTTTTAATAACATATTGGAGTCATCTCACTGACTTCTTACATGTACTGTAATCTCAAAATACAGAAACCATTCAGCTTATATCACCATGTTTCAGAAGGCCTTAATGATGCACCGATTTAAACCTACTCATGAAAATGACGAAATATCGTGGTACATAACAGGAATATACAATATAACTATTTACCTACAAGAAAAGAAGAGTAGCTGCTTAAGTGGGAGACTGTTTTCGGACTGTGATGGTTCACAACCATCATAATGAAAATATGAATAATAATGTAAATAAACCTTCTTTTAGTTGTTTGTTGTGTATTCTCTGGCTACTGTGACTCACAATGTATCTACTGTTAACTCTGTAGTTCAACATCACCATGAGAATCATTTTAGCTGAATAATAGCTATCAGTTGTCTATTTACTTATTTGCATCAGCTTTAACTCAGCTGTTAATATCTATCTATTTGTCTTCCCCCTCTCTCTCCCTCTGTTCCTCAGGGTCTGCCTGGCAAAGATGGAGAAACTGGTGCTGCTGGACCCCCCGGCCCAGCTGTACGTACCTCTATCTCTTCCAAATAGCTTCAACACTGATTCTATCTTTCTCTGCACTTTGAGCCAGCCTTCCATATCTTCCACTTTCAGCTTGTTTTAAAGTGTGTTTCAGTGCGCTAAACAAAAAGAAAGCTTGTTAAACTAAATCTGTATGCCATGACCTGATATCAGAGCAACATCATTCATAAATTGAGCTTAATGTTCCCACCATCTTTAACATCAAGCTATAGTTTGGTTAATAATAGAAGTTGATTGTGATTATGCTTTATGAATGCTCTGTTTAGGGCTCTGCTGGCGAGAGAGGAGAGCAAGGACAGCCCGGACCCTCAGGTTTCCAGGTGAGTTTATCTGCTCAAACCTTTACCCAGGTTACCACCTGTTACAGTAAATCATATTATTTTAACCAAGCAGATTTCTATCCCTTGATGGATCTGTGATGATTGCATATTCATTTCTGACTCAGTGTTTGTTTTTGCTTACCTATTTTTGTTTCTCTCCTGTGCTCAGGGTCTTCCCGGACCTCCTGGCCCCCCTGGTGAGGGAGGCAAGCCCGGAGACCAGGTGAGTGCTTCTTTTTGGCAAAATTAAGCTTATAAAGTCACATTAACTTTGTGGAAATACCAGCATTGTTCTGTCATAGGTTTGAATCAGAGACCATAAAAGTAATTTGGTTGATGCTGTTCGACGGAACTTACAATATTGTGGATCTTTTTATTTGTAACCTTAACAACAACATTATAATTCTTCTAAACTGTAACTAGGGCATCTCTTTAAAAGAGCAGGTATATTCGACCCGTTTACCTGTGTAAATAAGGGTTACAAATAAATGAATAGGATAGGTTTTTGCTGTACTATCTCAGTAGTGCTTAACATTGTATTCAACTTATGTCCCAAAATGCATTCAACTCTGAGGCTACCCGCAATATTGCTTCATACTGTAAAAGAAAAAAACACGATTTATTTCCACAATAATCTAACCGTTCAGTTTATTTCTTTAGTTTTGTGAGTGAAAAAGTGTAGCCTTGATACTTAGTAGTAGTAGTACTTCTTGTAGTGGCAGCAGTTCTCTCACTCTTTTCAAGCATACATGTCTTAATGTGAAATATATCCCTCCACCTTTTCTCCTTTAAGGGTGTTCCTGGAGAGGCTGGAGCTGCTGGTGCTACTGGACCCAGAGTAAGTTGACTTTCTGTGTTTACCATCACTACTGATTGATCGACTGATTGTCAGACATGCCTCTGATTGTCACTTTGTCATTTTGTCACTGTTCAGGGAGAGCGTGGTTTCCCCGGAGAGAGAGGAGCTGCCGGCCCCCAGGGTCTGCAGGGGCCTCGCGGTCTGCCTGGAACTCCTGGAACTGACGGACCCAAGGTGAGCCCAACATCTGGTCTGAAACCAGGAACACAGATTTTCACATAATGAACAGTCACCACCTGAACTGCACTCATACATTTGGCCAGTACATTCCTATTAAATGCAGCAGCAGCTACACATTAATGTGAGCATGTGATTACATAACGATAAACTAAAGTGTTTGTTAAGTTGAGTTGAGGTGTGTTGACAAGTTGTTATATTTTAACACCCAGATCCTGACATGTCACGTCTGTGGGGTTAGCTGTGTGAGATAGCACCTCTGCTTAGTGTTCCTGAAGGAAATGAAAGGTCATGTTTTAGGTGTTAATTTTGGGGTGTCTGAGGGCACACAAGATGATAAACAAGAGTAGACAGCAAAATATAAGTGTTTGCTTCACAGATATATTCTTATTCACTATTTTCTGCTTACTGGATAATAGTACTTTTTCAGGACTCAAGATTATTATTCAAATAAAGAAAGAACCAACCATGTGTTGAACTAGTCACAACCAATAGAAATAATGAATTGCTTACATTCCCGGGTTCCCTACTTATTGCACCTACAAAAAATAAGACATCTAGTAAGTAAAAAATATTAAGCATTCCTTTGAAGAAATATACCTAATCACCCAGTATAAGATCGCATTATTACTGGTATATGGGATCTGCAACAAAATTACATCTTCTCTACATTGTTAAACACCCAGGAGCTCAGAGTATTTCCAATCAAGCAAGCCGGCCACTTGCTTATCAGCCATCAAATAATTCTATTTACTGCAGTGAGGTCGTCACAATTGCACTGTGGAGCCGAAGAAAAGCTCCAAGCGGCTGCAACTCTCACTGGTGTTTTATCTGGTCAGATTTTATCCCAGTTCACAGGTTTACTTCCCTTCAGGTCAGACAGCAGCAGATAGAGAGGCTGAGGATTATAGAGCTGATGTGAGAGGGAGTGTGATGGTGAATATGGAGGGACATAAAGACATTTTGTGGAGCTCGATTCTAAAAAAAGATGCAAAACGGTTTGTTTCAATATACAAATTGTACTGTTTACCCCTGCAGTCAGTTTGAATGTATTCCCAGCCCAACATGGCGGGCTGTGGTGAGCCCTGTGGTTACAGCCTCTAACAATCTGGAGATATTCCAGTCTGAGGCTGCTGTACGAAAGCACGGCTGATAGCCTGACGACTTTATGACCAGGAATACCCTGCCTGGAGCCAGTTTCAATAAATAATCTGCTTTTCCCCTCCATTATCTTTGGTTTTTCATATGTTGAATAAAAGATTTTCCTTGTGATAAAAACTCCAATTCTACTTAAATATACAGAATCGAATGTCATATCAAAAGAAAATGTAGGATTTGAGATCATGTTTATGTCTCACAGTGTTCCCCTAATTAGTTCATTGTTTCTCTACACTTTAATTAGATTTGTTCCGCGAGGGTAACGTTGATATGAATCCAGCTGCTGAACAACCAGTGTCAGGTTAATCATAATAATCCAAGCTGTTTTTATTTTTACAATCCTCTGGTGCTCTACAAAGCATGGCCACGACTCTCATTTGTTTTGACAAAAGCAATCTGAAATCAGTATGGCACATTCTCACGTCCGCAGCAGGTGCTTACACTCAGTTATTCAGAATACAAACAGACTGAATAACGCGTTCTGTCTATTGTCTGTGAATAACATCCATTATGTCTGCTCCATCGTAGGGAGCCATTGGACCTGCTGGTGCTGGTGGAGCTCAGGGCCCCCCCGGCCTGCAGGGTATGCCCGGAGAGAGAGGATCTGCCGGCATTCCTGGACCCAAAGGAGACAGAGTAAGCTATGATGAAAACAAAGTGTTAATACATAGATATTTTAACATTTGATTTGTATTGTGACATGCCTTTACCCATCTCAGGTTCTAACTGTTTACATTTTCTTTAATTCCCATAGGGTGACCTTGGAGAGAAAGGACCTGAAGGTGCTTCCGGTAAAGATGGTGGAAGAGTAAGTGACGGTCATCCATGTTTTTTTTATAAACGATAAAAAGTTGTTAATGGCTGTAGCTTTACTCATGTAATGCATCACAAAAGTCCATTCATTCAATCTTAAAAAAGTTGATAATCATTAGATTTTCAATAATTTTTTCAAAACACAATTCTGGTGTCAATTTGCAAGTCCTTACACTCTTCTGCTGTTTCCTGTTGCAGGGTCTCACTGGTCCCATTGGTCCTCCTGGTCCTTCTGGCCCCAACGGAGAGAAGGTATATGATTATTTTACACAGTGTTTATTTGAATCGAAATGCCTTGCTGTCTGATTTCTGTATTTCTGTTATACATTGTGTTTAACATCTATCTGAACCCACTGTTCAGAGCTAAGTGTGTGTTGCTGAATGTTTCTGTGTTTTCCTCCAGGGAGGAATCTGGTCCCGCTGGTCCTTCTGGAGCTCCTGGTACCCGTGGTGCTCCTGTTAAGTGTCACAATTTAACAATATTTTATAACCTGAATTGTTAGTGGACTTTTTATTTCTAAAGGTATAACATAATAAAAACCTCATTAAATAGTAGCTTTTCCTTTAAACCCATATTCTGGTATATTAAAGACGATAGTATTAAATTGATAGCTCTCATGTTTAACGTTTTTGAACAGATCACCTGTTTCTTCACTTTTATTGAGCTCTGCAGCCTGAACTAACCTCCCTGCTGCCTCTCTTCCTTCCTCTCTCAGGGTGTACAGGGGTGAGGATGGACCTCCTGGGCCTGCTGGATTTGCCGGACCCGCCTGTAAGTAACAACAACAAACAACTCTGACCAGCACTTAGCTTCTGCTGTTGTCTGAAGGTCATGTCTCCATGGGACATCAACTAATGTCACACATGTTGTCTGTGGCCCTAGTCCTTGGGTGTGGACATGAGAGAAAAGTTATCAAAGTATATATTTTTTTATCTTTGTAGAATTTCTGTTCAGTGATAAATATGTATAATAAATCTCCATGAAGAGAATTTTTACAAATGATTTAAAGAACTTACATTTCCAACCTAACCCATTTTCTTTTAACCATGCGGACAGGAATAACAAAAATAGCAACAAGCTAACATCTTGAATGTTTAAATATAATTCAATAACACTTAGTGTAGGTTGTATTTCCTGTTAGAATAAATAATGCATTTACATAGATTGTACTAAAAATACAAGAGTAGAGACTTTTAAAAACTACTAATGTAAAGCTAGTTAGTAAAATATTTGGGTATATATATATATATACGCATATACGCTAATATGAAACAGAGGTTCAATGCAGTTATTTTATTCTCAAATTTAAAAAAACTGATCCAAACAATACCTCATATTTTGTTGTAAAATCAGACGTTTAAATTGATTATTTTCTTTGAACAAAAGAGTCATAAGCTAAGAACCAACAGACCTGACACAGTTTCTTATTTCAAGCCTCTTCACCTCATATCTTTGGTGTCTTGGCTTATTGTGTTGTCTACTCAGTGCATTCATCTGTGGAAAGAAATTACTGCCTAGACAGTCGGAAGTCTTTATCTCCCCTACCCATTTATTTCTTCCCAAAGCTCCAGGCAGACATAAATGTTTTAATTAAGCTGGCATCCTTCCTAATGGATCGTTATCAATATGTTTTGTCCACAAGCCACCGCAGATTGTCATGCTATTTTTTTTCTTTTTTCTAAGTTTTAGCTATGATTCATTATTTAATTAATGTTCAGGATGAATAACACTACAAGGTGTCAAAATCATTTTTGTTTTCGCAGCTCACAGACAGAAGCAATCACAGCCCCATCACCACGTAGACTGAGAACGACAGGGATTGCTACAGGGAACATTAACCAGCTCATATTGAATATTTTGACACACACTATAACTGTTAACTGCTCCTGTTGAAGCAATCGCAACTGAAATTACCTATAGTGAGTTGAAAGGCACACAGGTGAACATTAAAACAAGTTTAAAAAAAAGCAGCTTAAGATATCCTGACTTTAATATCGTAGTAAAGGTCAAGCTCCAAAATCAATGGATCCTCCATGTCAAATATTGCAACTCATAACATTTTCCCGAGCCATAGAACACATTATGTTATTGTTTTTGCAGGCTGAGTAGTACTAACTATGACAAGTTAAATGACCATGTGTATAACTGGTTGAGTACCCCTTTAATCAAATGTCTTGTTGTTTAACAGCTGACATATTTCATACATTCAACTGTTTCTGTCTGTTTATTTCAGGGCTCTGACGGTCAGCCTGGTATCAAGGGAGAGATGGGAGAATCTGGACAGAAGGGTGACGCTGGAGCCCCCGGACCCCAAGGACCCTCTGGTGCCCCAGGACCTTCAGTGGGTGTTCTTTTTGGACTTTGCCTAAATTATAGTCGGGTTACACCAAAACCGTTGATGTTCAAAGCCTAGTGCAGTTTCAATTTTGCAATCAAAAACATTAAACAATGGCAGGCCCAACACTGACACAAGAAATTCTATGCTATGCTCAAATGCTTAATAATTGATTGTACACTCTGTTATCCGTTCCAGGGTCCTACCGGTGTTTTTGGACCTAAAGGTGCTCGTGGTGCTCAGGGACCTTCTGTGAGTAACTTGTTCAGAAATAAAAAGCAGTGTTTTACTTTTATATCACTGCACATTGTGTTATTTCTGGCTTTGTCTAAATGAATCTTTGTCTTTCAGGGTGCCACTGGTTTCCCTGGAGCTGCTGGCCGAGTTGGACCCCCTGGTCCCAACGTAAGCTCACAAATACTCCCAAGTGGCTGCTTGTGCATGGAACTGAAAAGTGTTATTTGTGACTAAGTCATCCTCCTGACATGTTGTAGGGTAACCCTGGAGCTGCTGGACCCGCCGGCCCTGCTGGTAAAGACGGACCCAAGGGAGTGAGAGGAGACGGTGGACCTCCAGGCCGACAGGGAGACGCTGGGCTCCGCGGCCCTGCTGGGACTTCTGGAGAGAAGGGAGATGCTGGAGAGGACGGTCCCCCTGTGAGTTTGTCTTACTTTTCTCATATTTAGCCTTATAACACTCCAGTCCCTTCTGGGCTTTACATAAGCTCATGGACCTTGTGATGCCGATCGCATCCTAGCACCCACATGTTTAGCCACTCTTTCTCTTTCTCTTCAGACTGCACGTCTCCTTGAACATTTTCAAGGTGAACACAGGTGTCCATTATAGAGAAAGAAAGGGTTAAATCTGTTTGTCCTTTACATTTCAGTTGCCTTTTTCATAGCTCTTTTTTCACAGCCCAAAGAGCCAATTTGATCAGTAATGAACAGCAGCAAGGTACACTCTCCATTAATACACGGAGCTCTCAGTGTCCATCACTGACTGTAATAGACAACCGAGACATCTGACAGCACAGGGCAGGATAAACCCAGTGATAGAATAATGACAGGACCCCAGGCTTTTACGTTGCACACACACACACACACACACACACACACACACACACACACACACACACACACACACACACACACACACACACACACACACACACACACACACACACACACCACACACACACACACACACCACACACACACACAACCCCTCATAAACACATGCTGAGACCTGTCAAGATAATGACATATCACACATGATTGCATACTCAGAAAAGGCATGTTCTGTGTTGTCACTCCAGCCATGTATAGATAACATCTATGAAAGCTTGAACCCTCTATCAACACGTCAAAGTCTTTGACAGCTGAACCATAAGGGCGCAGATGTCACTTAGACTTTATTGTGAGCATGTTTCACAGCAGGACATGTGGCAGAGTGGACTGTGGTGGTGGTGCAGATGAAGTACACAGAGAGGTGATGGAGAGATCGATGCTTATCTGTCCTGCTGCCATTGGAGATGTGTTATCCCAGTGGGAGAAAATGACATGAGCTATAAATCAAAAAAAGAAACAGAATGAAACTTAAGTACACAAAAGAAAGAACAGAAAACTTGCCAGAACCCAATCATAAAGATGACTAGCTGTTATATTATATTAAGCACATGTCAACATTAATACATGATGACTTAAACAAGTCTCTGCTGGTAACTGTCAGTTTAACTTAAAGTCTGACATGTGGCCCTGACTTAAAATCAGTTTTTACACTTTTTTACAGATTAAATAAGGGGTATATAACGTGATTTTAAGGTTGTGGTAGTTGGATTTTGTTAACTCGTACAGAGGCTAGCTATTTCCCCCTGTTTTCAGTCATTGTGCTAAGCTAAGCTAACCAGCTGCTTACTATAACTCCCTCATTGCGTACAGACATGACATTGCTATGAAGTGAATCAGCGTATTTTTTCAAATGTCCAACAAACAATTTCTTTGAGGTGTTTATCCGTTTGTACATTAATACATTGGCCACATCGTATGTATTGTCTCAGATCAGCTTATTGCAGAAATAATGGATATGGCATTTATGTCAGTGACATGTGTCAGTACAGAAATGCCATAGAGATCATTTAATTATAATGAAAGGTCTGTTTTATGTAACTGTCACAATAAAGACGACCACAGAACATTAACATTATTTTTTCAACCGTAAAAACCACTCTGTCCGTGGTATGGTTTATGATGTGTCTGCAATTGAAGGATTATTTTAAATATGAAAAAACGCCAATGAAACACAACAGTAATTAAATAATATCAAACTATTTGACTGATGATATATTTACTAACCATTAAATCCCTTTTTTTCCTCTCATTTTTCTCTTCAGGGTCCTCATGGTCCTTCAGGTCCTCAGGGTCTGGGCGGATCACGCGGTATCGTGGGTCTGCCCGGACAGCGTGGAGAGAGAGGGTTCCCCGGCCTGCCTGGACCTTCTGTGAGTAACATACTGTTATTATTTATTATTATCAAATAATTTAATGTACAAATTAGGGCTGCAATTTAAACTTTTTTCATTATCGATTTTTGATTTGATTAATAGTGAGAGATGCCATTCAAATTCTCTAGAGCCCAATGACTATAAAACCTATTTAATTCACAATATAAGAGCTGAGATAATTAATTGATCCATGAAATCTCTCTGAAATGAAATGAACCAAGCAACTTAATAGAGAGAATAGTATAGCAATTGTTTTCATTGTCATTAATCATTTAAGTCATACTGTACACAGGATTGAACTATTTAATTGTATGTATTAGCTGCCTGTCTTTGTATTGTGTGATTGGAAATTGGACACAATTTGCTTGTCTTTTAATTGGTAGATTCATTAAGTTTTAAAATAATCATTTTTGCCCAACACAATTATATAACATATAGTAAAATGGAGCCAGTTGAGCGGCTGGAACTCAGAAACCTTAAACTATAAGCCATGATCAGAATGAATCAGTGATATGACTATTACTGCAACGTTTCTTAGATGATGGGAAGATTACTAAACATTGGCTGTTCACTGCAGAGATGAGGTGTTCTTCTTTCACTGCTGCAAGTGACAGTCTGGCAGAGAGGCTGTTATATATATTCATGAATCTGCCCTAAGAGCACGGTGCCTAATGTGTTGTCACTCGGTCGAGTAGAAACACAGACAGGCTCTGGACTGTCAAGCTGCTGCAGTCTAATTGGATCACATTCACATCACGTCTCACATGAGAACAGCCAGGACTCTTCTCCTGGTGATCTGATCCATTTGATGTACAGTATGAAGTGTGACGAGAAGGCTCCCCTGCTTACACCTGTCACTGTTTGATATGTGACATGAGCTGTGTCCTGGATTTACAGCATCTCAGTGGTCATGTGCTTAATTATTCATCAGTAGACATGAAATGAACGCCAAGAAATGGTGATGCCAAAACTCACCCAGAGATGTTTCCAGCAGAGGATAAGCTTCAGTATCAAAACTGGAGTTTGAACTGCAGACATAGTTAATGTCATGTTCTGTAGTTGCTTCAACTTTGGTCACTTTGAAGAAGCAGATACTTACACCGGTATTTCAAGGATGAGGCAATGTTGTGCTATGTTCTTTATCTTTAAATGTGATGATATCAGAAGTAATAATAATAATAACTATTATTTTTTACATCAAATGAAGCTCAAAGTGGTCTACATGATGGCATTTACAACAAAGTAGTAATAATAGTAGATATAAAATAAAAAACAATGTATTTCATTAAAATAGAATAAAATAATAGGCAGATAATTAAAATGGTAGTTCCTGGTGAGAATGTGTGGGTAAATGATATGAGAAATGGTATCTTATTATTTAACATCCTCTTCTCTCTCTCAGGGTGAGCCTGGAAAGCAGGGAGCTGCTGGTGGCAGCGGAGACCGCGGACCCCCTGGACCTGTGGGACCCCCTGGCCTCACTGGACCTTCAGGAGAGCCTGGCAGAGAGGTCAGAGAGTGGGCAACACACTGCATGTGTGTGTGGCTGGATTGACATCTGCCACATTGTATTTAGTCTCTTTATATTCAATGGTAGAAATTGCAGGATCTCTGTGTAAAGGCCAATACGATTACAATTCACTGCTATTTGTAGCACGTTTACATTAGCATTATGTTTACACCGTATTATCAGCGGGTATCTTGGAGCGGGGCTCATTATGCAGCCGATCAGTATTCAATAGGACATCTGGCTGGAGGTGGAAGCTATTAACACTCAATATTGTCATGTGACAGGGCAACTCTGGATCTGATGGACCTCCTGGTAGAGACGGTGCTACTGGAATGAAGGTGAGAAAAACACAATCACGCTACATAAGATACATTACGTCAGAAACCTCTAGTCTATGTTGTCGGATGCTGGAGGGATTATGCTTTGATTCTTCATGTGTGAAATGTGAATTGCATTAATGATGGGAATAGATTTGTTCCCTAATTGTCTGACAGCACCACCTAATTCAAATCACGTATACCTGCTGGAGGAATTTCCCCACTATGCTTAAATATAAGTTACTTATTTAATGAGATGAACTGATGAGCGCTGATGTAATTGCATATCTGAAACTGCATGTCAAATATGTGAATAGGTATTGCAATTCACCAGTATTGACGAAAACTGCATCATTTAATAAATAAAATATTGAAAAAGAAGTCAATAATACAATTTGATAATGTTGTGTTAATCATCCAGCACCCCCCAATCATTTTTGATTATTTCGATTCTCACTCACATCTCATACACAAACAAGTGTGATTCATTGGCCAGAAAAACACAAAATGCACAAAATAAACATTTAGGATGAATTTGACTGACAGCATTATTCCATTATTTTATTTGTCCTATTAATACACGTGATAATATTGTTATAGTGAATTATTTTGACCACAATATGTAGGGAAAATCTGATATCATGACAGCCCTATATTGCACATTTTATTCAAAATTGAAGGAGTTTGTCAATTATTTGACATCCACATAGCAAATTGGAACTTTTCACCAAATGTTTATCTTAACCTTTCTACATCCAGCTCAGCCTTTAGCTAGGCAGCAGTGATGTTACTGTGCAGTGTGTGTGTAGCTCTCCTCTCATGACTGACCCTCTGCTCTCTGTGCTGCAGGGTGAACGTGGTACCACTGGTCCTGCTGGAGCTTCAGGTGCTCCGGGCGCTACTGGTGCCACTGGCCCAGTCGGCCCCACCGGCAAACAGGGAGACCGCGGAGAGTCTGTGAGTAACTCCAACACCAGGGACATTGTCATTAAATACCAAATAAACATTGATGTGAAGTTTGTTTCTTATTATTAGGTAGACAGCCGGTATTATTTGTAAAAGGTTGAAATTAGCATAATGGTCATAAAGGAGAGTAAGACCTATGGCTAATGTAATATCCTTTTCTCAGTTACATGGCATTTATTCAGTGTATTTACACTTTTCTACGTATAATACATTATTATGTCCTTTAACACGACTTGTTGCAAATGTATCTTAATCCTATTTCACCTTAGGGGTATGTCTGTTACAGTATAGTACTGATCAAGCAATAAAGATAGATAATGGCACCATTTAATTTCAGTATATGTTCATTAAGATACATGATTTGTTAACTGCCAGATAAAAAAATAATAATAATTGTAACAATCCACAAACATTTAGAAAACATTATAACACCTATTCATATTAACAGATAATAACACAGTACTGGGAGGTGTTTGTTCAAAGCAGTGCTCTTGTGATTTAAGATGGTTCTGTGACATTCCCCCCTTTGGTTTCCCTTCACAGGGTGCACAAGGACCTGCTGGCTCTTCAGGACCTGCTGGAGCCCGAGGAATGCCAGTATGTGTTTTTCAGTTTTGAGTTATTGATATAATAAAAGTCAATACTTAAATGAATGTGTCCAGGGCAAAAGTGAAAATAAGCCTTGAATGTCAGTCTGTTTTTTCTTGAGACAGTGTTTCTGTTTCTGCACAATAAATTCTAATGCAACAGAAAAACAAACATTTTTCCTAATTAATATGTTGTCCACTTGTTCTCAGGGACCTCAAGGACCCCGTGGTGACAAGGGTGAGTCTGGAGAGAACGGTGAGCGAGGACAGAAGGGACACCGAGGTTTCACTGGTCTGCAGGGTCTGCCCGGACCTCCGGTAAGCATTCACACTGAATTTAAATCCATTTGCTTTCCGACCTTTGTGTTCAGGATATCTGCATTGTATAGCCACTTCAGCTAGATCATTCATTCTATTAATGCTGTGTGCAAATACAAAAAGGATTTTAAAAGGCTTAGATTGAACATGATGAATGTTGCAGAAACCCTGATGTTTGAATTGTATCTGTTTAGGGTCAAAATGGAGACCAGGGAGCGACTGGAGTTAATGGACCTTCTGGACAAAGAGTGAGTACTGAAGCTGTGAAAATACTTGGTGTTTTTTGAAGTCCCCTTTGAATGGAAAGACTCATGAGATTTGTTTCTTGACACGCAGTGTCTTTAATGCATACAATCAACATCTCTGTGTGTTTATAGGGACCACCTGGACCTGTTGGACCAAGTGGAAAGGATGGTGGAAACGGTATGCCAGGACCCATCGGACCCCCTGGACCTCGTGGTCGCGGTGGAGAGACCGGCCCCTCTGTGAGTAATCACAAGAACAGATCTTCTTCTTACAATGTATCAGGCTTAAAATACTTAGCAAGAAATGCCCTACCCTACAATATTGTGAATCATGTAATCTTGCAGCGCTGACCCCATCTCATACAGTATGCATGCCATGTGATGTGACCTGCTAATATACATCACTTAGTCATCTTCAGTCAGATCAAGATGTTAATACAGTTAACCTTATTGATATTAAGGTGGACACGAAAAAGACAGGTGGGAAGAAAAAACGTAATTAAAAGACAAATTAAAAAGGGGTTTTAAAAAGACGACTGAGATGTAGAAGGCGATCCAGTTGGCATCACTTGAGCTTGTTTGTGACAAAAGCAAACAGAACAGATTGCAGCCTTTTCTCCAAACATTGTGGTGATAGAAGAGTAATCCACCATCTGTGAGCAAGACATGACGATACCAATGACTTGGAAACAAATAATTGTTCATTGTCAAATAATAACCCTTTCCATCTTTGTCATTTTCCTCTCAGGGTCCCGCTGGTAACACCGGACCCCCCGGTCTTCCTGGCCCCCCCCGGCCCTGGCATCGACATGTCTGCTTTCGCTGGTCTGGGCCAGACTGAAAAGTCCCCCGATCCTCTCAGGTACATGAGGGCCGACCAGGCTTCCGGAAGCCTCCGTACGCACGATGCCGAGGTCGACGCCACTCTTAAATCTCTCAACAACCAGATCGAGAACATTCGCAGCCCCGAGGGATCCAGGAAGAACCCGGCCCGCACCTGCAGAGACCTGAAGCTCTGCCACCCCGACTGGAAGAGCGGTGAGTGACAGAACCAGGGATCGGTCCAATTGGGATGAGATGGTGAAAATGTCAGAAGTTAGGAGACATTTTAAATTGGCAACAGTTTGGAGAAGTCAAAATGTAGGTTAATTATAGTTTGTGTAGTCTGGGTGTGTTTACATTTGACTGAATCAGAGTCAATACATTTGTACGATAACATTTCTACTATTATCAGCTTTTTAGAAAAGAGTGGGTTGAATATGGAGCTGATGTTTTTTCTTTCCTGTAGGCGAGTACTGGATCGATCCCAATCAGGGATGCACCATCGACGCCATCAAGGTGTTCTGCAACATGGAGACCGGAGAGTCCTGCGTCAAGTCCAAGCCCGACAGCATCCCACGCAAGAACTGGTGGTCCAGCAAGAGCAAGGACCGCAAACACGTCTGGTTCGGAGAGACCATGAATGGAGGATTCCACGTAAGTGCCACAAAGTTTTACATCTTCCTGCACATCAGCTGATCTCCAACTGTTCTCCCATTAGTACACAGTGTTCACAGACTGACTATTGAGGTCAGCTTTTGATTAGAATTAAGACTCAAGTCTTTTGAATGAAAAGAAGTCTGAGAAAGATGGATGTTCATTTTCGCCTAATGAGAGCTGGGATGAGTTTATACCCCGTAGATGTATAGATAATGGGCACAGATGACAGTTTCCTTAAACAATAAAACATGGTTATTCTTACGTGTTAAAGTAATACAAAAATCACGCAACTGTGATGGAAACTTCTGAAGCAATGGAGACAGGACTCAGAGAGACACGAGGAGAGCAGCACTGATGGTTTATTTGGAGCTTTGGCTGGAGAATTCACAAGACATGTCGTGTGCCACGAGTTGACACAACGGATGCCAAACCAATTCTGAAGATCTCTACCCCAGACCCATGTATTTAGCTGGTTCTGAGAGAATAATCAACATTGTGCATACCAAGATAAAGCGCTATAACACCTCTATCAGCTGACGCCAACAGGCAGGAACAGGGAGACAAAGCACTGAGAGCAGAGCACCCAAGGCTACAGGTGCCTGAGCTCAGTGAGGTCATTACAAACTGATAAACTGGGTCAAAGTTATGGTCCTAGGAAAATATTTCCCCAACAGCAACAGCCATAGTAACAGAGATATTAGCTGTGATTGTGACCTTCTCTTCCTTACCTGTGTCCCAATGCAGTTCAGCTACGGTGATGACAGCCTTGCAGTCAACACTGCTGCCATTCAGATGACCTTCCTGAGACTGCTGTCCACCGAGGCGTCTCAGAGCCTCACCTACCACTGTAAGAACAGCGTGGCCTACATGGACGCCTCCACAGGCAACCTGAAGAAGGCTTTGCTGCTGCAGGGCTCCAACGACGTGGAGATCAGAGCCGAGGGCAACAGCCGCTTCACTTACAGCGTGATGGAGGACGGCTGCACGGTAAGATGGGACACATTCAACATGCACGCACAGGACACACAGTATTTCATGTAAAAATGATGTGCATGTACTGAATCCAAAAAAATGTATACGATTCGCTTTCCCTTCATGACAGATGGTAGGAATTGTCTCTCTTTCTCTCTGGTGTTCACTTGTGAGAATCTAATTTTGAAGAAGTCAAAGGTCTCTAACAGCCGCTGTGATTATTCTCTCCATACAGAAACACACAGGACAGTGGGGCAAGACAGTGATCGAGTACAGATCGCAGAAGACCTCTCGTCTGCCCATTGTAGACATTGCCCCCATGGATATTGGAGGATCAGACCAGGAGTTTGGAGTGGAAGTCGGTGCAGTCTGCTTCTTGTAAAGAACGAGGGAGCGATATGAAAAGAAAGAAGAAGTGGAAATTTGAACGGAATTAAAAAAAGAAAGAGGAGCACACTTCAGAAAGGAGAGAAAAAGAAAAATCAAGACACTTTTTTTTAAATGGGACTTTTTTTCGAAGTAAAAAGTGCTTTTTTCCAAGTCGAACTCTCCGTAGGATATCTGCACTGAATGGCACTAGCAACTGTCATCTGTGATTCATCGCCCCCCCTCCTGTGGACACTTCCAAAAAGCCCCCATGTCATCCTGGGTGAACAGCTGCCCCCCCGCCACAACACCACCTACCCCACCCCATGAACAAGAAAGAGGAAGTATGAGGAGAGAACCAGGGAACTAGAGAGAGAAAAAATGTGTTGGTGTTATTTATTTATTGTTTAGGTTTGGGTCCCAGGTGTGGTAGGACTGAGGTTGTTGCTAAGTAATAAAAGCCCACCATTTAAAAAGAAAAACATATCCACCAACCTCTCCTACTTCCTCTCCTCTTTTCGAACCACCCCATCGCTCCTGTACCATATCCACTAAAGCATACATATCTCTTTGAAACCAAAAATGTAGCTACATAGAAAGTGCAGGTGTTCCTATTTCTACCACCAGTGTGTATCAGAAAGTTACTGTGTATTATAATAAAAGTCAATGGTGCTATTGTTGTAAAACAGTCTGTATTTTTTAAACAACCATATGTAGCGACTTGTATATATGTATATATATGTATATGTGAGTATACATATATATACAGTTCCTCAGAGAGATCATTGGTGATGAATGTCCCTGCATCACCCCTAAACAAACGTGATGACCTTTTACTATCAAGGCCAAAACTGAATTAAATGTACTTTTTTAGTTTTGTTTTAATATTTTAAAGCTACCTCACACTAAAAAAACAAATCATACTGAGGCCTTCTCCCCTTAAGCTTGGTATTCACACCCCTGTATTATCATTAATATGACCAATAGAAGCTTGGTCATGAAAGCCCAGTCTGCTGCCCCCTACCCCCCTAATTTGTTGTGACCCTTGACCCCCACCCCGCTCTACTTCCTCCCATCAGCCCCTCACACAGAGCGTGCCCTCTGCCTCGGCCTGCACACACACACACACACACACAGCTGAAGAGGTTCTTAGTGTGTTTGACTTTGTTGCTCCGATCTACAGCCAGCGCTGAGGGCTCGCTTGTGTGAGGTTGTGTATATTTTTTATTATTAATAATAGTATTATTATTAATAATAATAGCATTATTATTATATTATTATTATTATGATCATGACTTGTTTTTGTTACGTTTTAATTAATGTAAATTGGAAATAAAAGACAAAACCAAGTAACAGGCTGAAGTTGCTTTTTATTTATATCATGTTTTGTTCTCCCCCTCCTTGAAATATCGGGGGCAGCGTTTTTTGACTCTTTCCAAAGAAAATTCCTTACACATTTCAAAGTGACCTGCTGCCACTGGGTGTTTTTGTGGAGATGCCCTGATACATTTCCAGGGGGAGAAACACCTCCGATCTCAAGAAAAGGAGTGAAAGCGGTGATTTTGTTGACTGATTTGTGAAAAAGGTGGAAGTGGTGAAAGTTCATATCATGTATCAATGTAAAATAGTCTTTCAATTACTTTTCACACATGGTAGAGTAGAAATAGGAAACACTGCAACCCATGATCAGCTCGTTCTGTGAATTGATCATGTCTTTCTGTACTTTTCTTCATCCTCTTGCCTTTTTTTCAACCTACTGTGGAAATAAAAGGTAGAAGCATTCCTATGAACAAAGTAGAGCAACGTTTCTTTTATTGTTTATATATCTTTTGTTGTTTTTTCCTAAAATCACTTTTTGATAGATGATTTATTATGCAATGTAATGGTTGTCAATCTCTAACTTTACGAGATAAAAACAAACAGGAGTGAACATTCACTGGGACAGAAAAACATCGGCAATAAATAAAAATACAATACAGAAAAGATATGCACGTTGACATGCTTGGTTCTTGAGTTTGGGGTTATCAGTATCATTGTACTATGTATGAGCTTAAAGGTAGGGTAGGTAATTCACTTCAGAAACACTTTTTGTTATATTCCATGGAATGCTCTTAACATCCCGAGAGCAATGAATATATTAAGTGCTTTGACAATAAATACATTAAAAAATGTCATCTGTGGAAGCCGTAATACTGTAAAAAGCACGACCAATCATCTGAGCCGGCCCGGCTAAAATAACTGGATGGCCTACCTGCCTGTCAGCCTTCCATCGGGGCACAAACTTATCTCGTGCCCTCATTGGTCATGTGCGCGTTCGTGTGTGTTGGAGGAGGGGCTCTGTAAGGAAGTGGCAGATTTTCTCCGGTTGTGTATTTTCAAATTCTAGCGCACTCGAGCTGGTTTCTCCAAAATTACCTACCCCACCTTTAAGTAGTTGTATTTAAAAAATAAGTAATGCATTTGGGCAAAGTGACATCTGACATATGAACATTAGATGTAGCATTTGTGACAGACACAAAGCACTCAGGAGATATTCTGAGTATGTACAGTTACATTAACAGTGCTTCAGAAGTTTATCCACACTGAACAAATCGACACACATCAACCTTGTTCTACTCCAAGTTAAACTGATACTAGATCTAATTCACAGTATGTTTAATCAACAACATTAACTTCTTCCAGTCTTTCTCTGTTAGTTACAAAGCACACACACCACATTTAGCACGTTACAGTACACAGGAAGTTGTCTTATACTAAGGTTTAGCCTCAGCTCCTATCCCAATTGTTAGATAATATGGGGCACAGTTATCTTTATTACATCTATACACACTTAAAAGGTTGTAACTACACTTTAATCCGTGAATGATCAAAGACACATAATTTATCAGTATGTGATGCTTTACTTATAGGCACGTATCCCTTGTTTTGATATAACTTAATAAATAGCAAATAAAGTATAGAAAAGCCTTTACTTAGCCATAGATTTGAAACATTTTGGAAAAAATGCGTACATAGTGTGTGGGGTAGAAATACCTTTTTTTCTGCTTTAATATCCTGCCAATAATGTTGCAACCCCTCAGAATTGACCCTGGAATTATTTTGGGGGCTCCTTTGGTCCAGACTATGAGTCATTTGACTCTCTATTTGTGTTGAAAAAGACCGCTTATCATATATTTACAAAACAACACTTACACATCAGGAATTGCATACATTTTAATATTGCAGGTGTTAAATAACTGAGAAGGTTATTCCATTTATTATTAAAGGGTTTTGGTTTTGTTTTTCTGTAGCTTGAAAAATAATCAATTATGATGAAGCCTTTGTGGAAAACAGGAGCCTGAACGATTTGTAAACAACAATCAGTGGAGAGAGGGACTGAAAAGCAGTACTCAAGAGATTAATTAAAGCAAAACTAACGGCTTCTCGCAGGACAAACTGCCTCACTAATCTAATTTATGACAATTATCTATTTCTAAATCGGGCTGAAATGTCTTTGTACCGATCAGTGGCAAGCTGTGTTAGCTGGCCAGATATTTTAGAGCCGATGGCTGCAGCTCGGGGAGACAAAACAGTTCACCCTCAGCTCTAATGGCTTACCGAGAGTACATTTAGATCAGCAGTTATCCACTGGCACAGAAACTACTGGCTTCATCGTGACATCTATTTGGGAAAGGCTTAAATAGCATCGTTGCAAAAATAACTTTTTTTAAATGACCCGTTACAATGCACAAAACTCCACATGAGAACAAAAATGCACAAATGAAACAGGCAATTATGAGGACACACATTTAAGTTTGCACGTCTCTCCTTTTCCACCTGATAAACACACTCTGCTGATTAGTGGCTTTCAAGTGTTCAGTAAGGGTCAGTTGGTCAAAGACGGCTAATTACAGCCTAATGAAAGATAACAGACCACAGTATATGCCATGTTGGGAGAAGAAAGGAGATGGAAAGAAGGAGTACAGAGGGAGAGAAAAGGTTATGAAGTTCAAAGAATATTCTTTTTTTCTAGTCTTTTTTCATCCTTTCAACTTTTGCTACTTCTTTCTCTCATTGCCCATGCTAGTCAAAAGTGCAAATATTTTCATTTCATTGATAAAAATGCAACATTTAAAGAAATATCCAGAAGCATATAGTAGGAGGGCTCAGTTGTAACACATATAAAGAAATATTACAATCACACACAGCATTTTGAAGCTTATCCGTTGCTCTCCATAAGAATGCCATTTTCATATTATTCCATTTAAATCACAGTAGTGAGCATGAGTTCAGAAACCAGTGCTAAGAGTGTCTGTCTCTGTGGGGGTCTTGCGTGGGCTGGGCAAACTCTTCAGGTACTCTAAATGCCTACGGGCTTCAGCTTGGTTCTGCCTCACATAGTACACTACATACACGATGACCATGAAGAACCAAACGAACATTGTCACCAGCATGGCTACATCAGTGGTTTTCCTCTGCAGACTGCAGAAATTCACCCCAGAATCCAACAGTTTGACCAGGGATTGACCTGCATGCTCGCCCTGGGACCCCGGGTCCTCCCACCTGCTTCCCTCACCCATCCCCCGCACAGAGCTCTCACACATGATCCCGTTGACCGTCTCGGGCTCCAGGTTCAGGGTCTCCATCAGCTCCTGGAGGGTGCAGTCACAGTGCCAGGGGTTGTGGAAGAGGCGCGTTTTTGCCCGGGTGGAGCCAAACTCCTCCCTGCTGGCCTGCCTCAGCTGGTTGTGAGAGAGGTCCAGCAGGCGCAGCTCGGGGCCCAGGTGCCGCAGGGCCCCTGAGGCCAGCGAGTCGATTCGGTTGTGGGACAGGTGCAGGTCCCGCAGGTGGAGCAGGTCCCTGAAGGCGGTCTCTGGGATGCTCCGGATGTAGTTGCGTTCCAGGTGGAGAGAGACAGTTTCCGGTGGGATGCCCTCTGGGATGTCCCGCAGCCCGGCGTCTGAGCACTGCACCGTGGCCGTGTCCCAGGCGCACTGGCAGCTGGCCGGACACTGGGGGGACGCTTGGCCCCAGAGAGCCGAGAACAGGAGAGAGACGCACAGCCACGGATGAAGAACCACTCCTCTACCTCGTCTTCCTCCACTGATGCTGGTACATCCCTCCTCACCCCAGCCTGTGCACATCGCCTCACCATAGCCCCCCGACACACTCCAGGTCCTGGTCACACACAGGCGCGCCAGGAGGATCTGACAGGTTGAGAGAGAAAAAAGGGTCATTTTGGAAAAGAGGACTCTCTCTCTCTCCCTCTGTGTGTCTCTTTACTAACACATACAATCAGTATGAACACTGACAGTGGAGATTGTGATGTTGAGAAAAAAGGTCAGTGGGTAAAGAGAGAGAAATAGCTTAAGCTGGTTTATCTGATAAATTCACTCCTGCGTGGAGGGACCAGAAAGATACCAAAACATGTAAGAAGACAGGCATGTATTTGCATAAAAAACGTGTTATTTACAGCAGTGATTATAAATTAAGCACTTGTATTTCTACATTAAAGGGACATAAATCAACACAAAAGATTATCTGAAGTCCTTTTTCATGCTGTCTTTTGTGTGTCTCCAATTATAAACCAAAAGAAAAGCCTCACATTACACTCATCAATACACATTCATCTTGTTTATTCCTCAATTTATTTTTCCCATGGTGCCATAGCCCTGTAATCATTTCCCATGAATGGGGGGATAGAGTGCATTATAGAGATGGAGGAGAGAACGGAGGTGGGATCGATAGTCCAAGATGCCTGCTACACTATTAACAGCAAAACATCACTCCTGCCTGTGTCCCACAGATTCAATAAATGACAAAGCTGCATGGAAAAAAATACAGCAGTGGTCTGGTGAGCATCTGGTCAGTTATCAAAGTTGCAACAACAAATAAAAAGCGGTCTGGCTAGACTCAGTTGGAAAAACCACTGAAGAATAGGCTGCATTAGGTCTACATGTGAGATGTGTCTTTGGCTTTTTTATTTGTATCTATATGGGTCTGAGTAATCCAGAAATTGTGTCATTTTATTCTAGTTCAGACAAGCACAGCTGTTTAATTGTTCTTGTTCCAAGACAAAAACGTGACACACTCCTTGAATGTGATTATGAGACCATCCTCTCAAATGTCAAGCACTTCTGCCTCCTTGTTTTTACAATGGTTAACCTTCATGTGTCTCTATTCTCCTGAATAGAGAGCATATGTGGCCCATAGATTTGGTCGATATCTTATAGTGTGTGACTGATAGCCGTGGCCCGTGTGATTAGTGTTTGTTAAGAGCAGAGGTGAATATTTAGTTCAGCAGCTTCGTGATTAACATGCGGAATGCTGCAGATGCATGCAAATCCCTAATTACAAAAAATAATCATCGCAGCATAATTCTGAATGTGAATGAGAAAGGCTGAAAGACAAAGATTGGAGAGGGACTCCCAAAGCAAATTCAGAAGGCACGTGCTGTGGATTGCACAATCCAGTTATTACGATATTGCCCTTTTGGCTATTCAATGTAAAGGACATAATTCAGATTAGAAAAAAACTGAGACTTGCAGCCTTGATTTAAAAGACTAGTATACACTAAAGTCTGATTTCCGGTGAGAAATATCATTTAGGCTATAGCCTACATTAAATCATTATGGGTAAATAGGTCAACTGGTAAATGGAAAGCTAATGTAACCCTTATAACACATTGTTAAATGTACATGCAAGAAAACGTGCATCGATCATTTGCAACTTTTTAATCATACAAAATAAGTAACGGGTGTAAAGAAAGCCTTCTTTCTGTTTCCCTCATCTGGTTGCTTTTTGACAGTTTTTGCCAATTAAAAAGCGAAATAAACGACTACAAGCGAATGCAGCACAATGTCACAATATTAGGGATAGTTACTGACTGTATATGCAGACATAGATGTTTAAAAAAAGAAAACTTACCGGTAAAATAGTTCCTTGTGTAACTTTAGATCCATAAAACGTTTTTTAGACTCCGTTTATAGTTTTTTCAGATTCTCCCGACCTCAAAATGCTCATCATCTTCTCATCAATTGTAGTTTAACGTTGGGGAAAAAACTACGCGGGCAGGAGGAGTAGTGGATCCGTGGTGTGTCGCCTGCAGACGGCTTCATCTCTGCCTGTCGTAACACTGGGTAGTTATAGCAACAAAGATGTGGGGCATCCTCCTTCTCTCTCTCTTTCTGTGTGTGTGTGTGTGTGTGTGTGTGTGTGTGTGTGTGTGTGTGTGTGTGTGTGTGTGTGTGTGTGTGTGTGTGATACAGACTTGAGTCAAACATGTGAGGTGTGTAAGTCCTTTACCTTATTACGACATCAGGCTCTCGGATTTCTAAGAACAGATTGGTTATAAACCTCCACATGAGATATTAACTTACCTACAGGTGTTATTAGATTCTAACAATGACATCTTCCTGCAATGTGATTGGATCCCAGGCAGGTAGTGAATATACAGACACTTACACTGTACAGTATCCTCAGTTGTTTTAACCTGAAGTATGAAAGGTAAAGATGCAATACTGTAGGTGTCAGACTGTTTAGGAGAATATTATATTTCATTTTCAGTCTCACAGTAAAACAACTGAAAACAAGATTTAAGTGCTCCTCCTTCAATTCCTGATGTTATTTGTCCAGGATTAGTAATAGAGGTCACATAGAAATAGACCTATTTTATCACTGTGCAAAGACTGCTCACTACAGTGATGCACTGAATGTCACATGAAAAATGAAGAGTGGCATGAAGACGTAACGCCACATGCATATAAAAACACATGAAAGGTTGGGAACCTTGACAGCCACAAACGCTTACAGGGCTCATCATTTACATATAAATAACAAGAATGTGCCTACAGACACACACAGAAGCGACACATATTGTAGTAAGAGAAAATGTTATTCATAGTGGTTTACTCATAGGGCGAATGCCCTGCTGTCCCTTTTCTACTATAGGCCGAGAGATATCTGTGGATCTATACAAGAGCCCTCAGGGGAAAGGATGGTTAGGACAGCCATGATTGCACCTTGTATCCCTCCTCTGCCTCCACAACATGTCCTACTCCTTCCAAACCTGCTCAAAACAAGGACATTTCCCCTCCTGACAAATACAATAAGCACTGCTGCAAGTATAATTAGTAAATGTTTTGCTCTTGATGGGTGATTGTCTCCTAGGTTGCCAGAAACATCACATGCGGACAAGATGAGTTTTGTGGTTACTCAGATACAAAACAAAGGGGAGTGTAATGAGAAAGCACATGATGACAGAGAGAACCACTCAACAACAAAAAGACACATCTGTTTTCAAGTCTCTAAGCTCAGAATGAATGGCATGATGAAAGCTAAAGAAAAACTGAAATGTGTCCAATATTTATTAAGGCTGTTGGTTATCTGTTGTGGGTGTTCTGGGAGGAAGCAGCTCTAAAAGATGGACAGGCCCAGGAGCAGTTTTTTGATTGATATGTTGACAATGTGAACTCTACTGGAAAACTTGACTTCAGTGAAGTGAAGCAGTTTGGCATCATCTGTTTGGTTTGGCCGCAGTCCTCCGAGGGGAAAACTGAATCACCCTAACACAAATGTGTAAACAGATCGAGGCAGTGGAAAATATCTGACAGCTAGTGGCAGAAATCCGCTCTTCCAAGACACAAGAGTGCAGGCATGGTTAAGATTGGTCTATTATTTGTGTCATGACGAGAAAAGAGGACAAACACCACAGACTGTGTCCTGGCTGCATGCCTGATGGAGTACGATAGAGATAAAAAGCAGTGTAACTATCCTGTCATTCTCTCGGGATTAGATCCACTAACAACAGGTCAGGCTGGGGGCAGGTGTTCTGCTGAGGCTATCAGGAGCCATTTTTCCACAGCGTGGCCGACTGGGAGTTGCCGGGGCTAGAGTCGCCTGAAACTGCTTACGACCGAGGACCAACACAAAGGTTCGGTCTGTTGCTGTGTAGTAAGAAACCACAACGCAGACGGAAACCATTCCTGCTGACAAAACAAAGTATTACAAAAAATGTTGCTTTGTAAGTAATTTAGCTGACAGGAAAGGAGTTAGTGCTGGCAAGCCTGTTCAGTGCTGGAAGAGAAAAACAGAGCATAGGCGGAAACTAACAAAAATGAACAAGAAATGCAGGAAAAGTATTTAATCGATAGGATTATTTAGTGATTTCCTGAGCACAGTTATCAGGCAAGTTGCATGAATACACCTGAGATTGTGGGTCAAATTGGTAGAAACTCAAATCAATACATATTAAGATACAAGCTGGTTTTTGTCCTCCTTTCTATCTATCTCTCAAAGTGTCTGCAATTACACTGCTGTAGTGAATACACCTTTGCTTTCTTTAAGCGAGGTGCAAGCTGGGAAAAAGGGTTATCTTCTTTCTCTCCCCAAAAACAACACTCACTGGTGGGCAGGGGTTACAATACGAACCATGTGACTGCAAAACGCTGTCACAAATGTGTATGGATTGGATTGAGACCTTGGCTCAGGTCCAGCACAATAGAGAGCAGAGTAATAACACTAAAGTAAGTGTGTGTGTGTGTGTGTGTGTTTACAAGATCAAGACCTTTCCAAAGCTATTAAAAATAGTCAATGCACTGCATGTGTTATCTGTGTAAATGTCAACATTTTGTATTTATAGCAGGATTGACTCGGAGCATAAAGATTATTTTCAATTAAGATTTACAAAGATAAAGAATTAACAGTCGGCACCACTGAATACAAAAAAACGAATGTCACAACATGAACTACTTTTCCACTGCTGTGGCATTTGCATAACAACGCTGATGGAAATAAAATGCACAGCAATGAAATTATAGAGCAATATTTTCTGTTGGGCAGCAGAAGGGCAGCCTTGTGGAGAATGCAATAAGGTATGAGTAACAGGTAGATAAGCAGGGGGAACATCTGGAGTATTAATGAGAAAATTCAAGGTTCATCTGCTGACTTTATTACAGGGAAATCGACTGCACAGTGCCAGTAAACTTGTCGAGACTCCGGCTGCCACAAGAAGCACCTCTTCATGGTCTTTGTACATTTCATTTCTCAGATTTAATCGAGCCTCATTATTGGCGCTTTGATCTTGCAGCCAGCGGAAGAAGCTGCTGTATCTCTTTGTAGTGCTACAGTTAATGTCAGCCTGCTGGAAATGAAAGGGGGGGACCACTGTCTCTATAAATCGACCCTTAAAAAGGTACGGCCGTGGTATCACAGGCTTTGAAGATGCCTTTTAGTGGTCCACCAGACTGCCTGCCTCGTATATATACACTTGATGGAGAAAAGAAGTGAGATGTGAGCAGAACTGAAAAAAGTAAGTGCTTTATTGTTTGATTTACCCAAACTGTTTACTAATACCAGAATGTAATCCAAAGAGTCTTTAATTGTAGAATTGACATCAAAACAGACTCACATTTATAAGAACCAAGACAAGAATAATACCGTTATTTTAGATTATGATTCAGAGCGAGCCTGTGTAAGAATAAAAGGTATTTAGGGAACTGATCCAACTTTATTTGGCCGACATTTCCATACCCTCTTCATTGTAGCAAAACAAAACAACATTAGCTAAGGCTGGGTCGAACAAGATTCAAGACAGCAAACTAACATTTTAATCCTTGCTATCCTCTCTAAAGACTGACCCAGAGAACAAAATGTGCTGCTGGCTCTCCTCTCTGACCCTTCAGCTGCTTCCATTAGCAGGGGACTTGGCGGCGGCCTGCAGGGTCCTACGGGCCATCTCCAGGGCTCCTTCCTGGCTCTTGTTCCCGCCAATAAAGCCTCCAGCGTGGACGAAGACGCAGCCCTCGATCCCACTGAGCTTCGACAGGGCTTCATCCCGAATGCCGCACCACTCTTCCAGCAGGGACAGCCTGGGACAGGAAGACAGAAGGGAACATTGGCTTACAGAGACACTGTGTGGTTTGGCTGCTCACTTCCTGTGGACACCAAAACACTGAGTGCTGTCATCGTCTGCCTAACCAGGAAAACAACAACAAAGAAACCAGAATGATGCACTGATGAATGATGTCAACCAACATCAATTAAAGAACAGAATAAAACCCAAACAATTAACTTCTGCTAGTGAGTCACTTTTCAAGCAAACATGCCAATCCTTAACTGCTTCTCAAATTTGAGGATTCTCTTTTTTGTCATAAGATAGTGAACTGATTTTTTTTTTTTTTTGTTCGCTAAATTGGATAACACGATCAAGACATCGTAGACTTTAGGAAATCATCACATACATTTAGCAAAATGCTCTGATATTTCTTTTTTTTATTATTTGAAAAAAGAAACAGCAAAACTATCAGTAATGACATTTGATTCTCCCATTTTATCTTAGAATGGCTTCGCACAAAGACTTGGGTTGCTCTGGTCTTTCTAGATCTTATGACCTACAGTGCACTGCTGTCATTCAAGGCACCTGCAGTTATCCTGACAAACACTGCACCACCACAAGCAGCCCGAGCAAATAGACCAATCAAATCAGCTTTATTCTTCTCTGGGAATGTGGAGAATCACATATTTGGTACCTTAGAAAGGCATCCTTATGATTGCAGGGGAGACGACAAGCAATCATACAAAGTGGAGAAAAGATTGGCTCTGCGAGGGTTCACAGGTTGACCTCCTCAAAGTGTCTCTAGATGTAACGTCAAAGAAGGAAAATTCATAAAAATGTAGAGCAGCTCATTTACCACCTGCTGTGTGCAGCACACGCCTCAGTCTAAAGTCTGGCATGTCATTTAAAACACATTACCAGTTGTCTTTTGTTTCTGTGCATGTGTGTCATGCTTGGCTTGACAGGGTTATTATCTCATTCCTTCAGGCCTGGTCTGAAGCATATGTAGCAATTCTGATTTATCACAAAACAGACTTTAACATTCACTTAAAGCAGGGGTGTCAAACTCAAATACACAGTGGGCCAAAATTAAAAAAGCGGTACTAGTCGAGGGCCGGACTGGTTCAATGTTTATTGCAAAACTTATTGAAATGAACTTATTGCACATATTAAACCTGGAACTAACAAAGCTTAAATTATTGCCTATAAAAACAACCCATGTTGTGTTCGAAAGCTGTTACCGTTCATGGTGTTCGCGGGTCAATTTTGACCCATGATGTATTTCAGTCCAAAACACACAAACAAAATGACTATCATCCAATATTGTTTTAACTACATCATAACTAACTTATTATGCATTCATAACCGTACAATCCTGTTGTAATTGTATTTTATGACCCCAAAACATTACACCACATATTGCACATGTGCATGTGTGTGTTCAGGTTCAAGTGTTAGTGTACATATTCTTTGAGAAAGGTGGAGTTCCCGTGGGGGGAGGGGGACAGAGGGATGGGAGACCAGGTGCATGTTGCGAAAAATAATTGTTACAGTGGATGAAGGGGGTGGGGCTGGGGCGTCTAAAGTCAAAGATGAATCTTGATTGGGCCAAATTTGGCCCCCGAGTCACCCACAACAATTCAGCTGTGTCTTCCCAGACCCGAACACCAAATTATACACTTTTTTTTTTAGAGACCTTCAGACTTGGCTAAAATGGTCAAAATCAGTTTTGTAGTGTTTATATAGCTGTCGTGGAGGATATCATGAAGCCTTGTTCCGATAAAAAAAAACTAGAGCGTAGTTATTACAGTATATCATTTTAACTTGAAACGGGTCACGGGAGACCCGAACACAACATAAGGGTTAAACATTAAATAATCAGTTGCATTAATTTCTTATGGCTCTATCTGCAGCTTTTCCGGAGTCATTTGTTATGATTACATTTTTCCACAGGCCAACAACAGCTTAAAAAAACCAATTTCCCTCAAAGAAAAAAACAAACATGCATGCCCTGTTGTCGCAAGAAAAAAGTGCAAAAGGAAACATCCATAAACTCAGTGTGCTGCTCTGTGATGCTAGTTCAAGCCAGATACTTGGCATCTCATCTTGGGTGCAAGTTCATCAATGTTTGGGCTCAGGCTCTGAGCTGAGGAAATCCTCAGGATTGAGTGAAGGTGTGCGGGCCAGATCTAATAGTAATTAGAAATTATCCTGCGGGCCGAAATTAAATCTACCACAGGCCGGATTTGGCCCGCGGGCCTTGAGTTTGACATGTGTGACTTAAAGCATCAGATCTCATTTTTTTAAAGTAATGGAAACCACAGGCCCTATTTTCACGTGTCACAAGTTTGATGAATTATGGAACTGTTTTGTGTAACTAACAGTCTAACTAAAACAGACAAAGAGAAATGCTTGTCAAAAACAGATGGCTCTTTAACCTGTTAAGCCCCAAGCATGTTTTTCAGGTTTCAGGCTTGAAAATGACATGCCCAGAACAAATGACTATATCTTCATTTCTAAAAGGTGTAAATTAATAATCTTTTTTCTCAAAGCAATGATACACCTGTGAGTTGGATGTAGAAGTGTCAGAATCAATATAGATGTTTTTATTTTAAAGTAAATTCAGATTGAACATAGTAAAAGAATGTAAATGATAGTGTCCGTCCAAACAAAAAACATGACTTATAGTGAAAACCACCCTTGAATGATGGGATAGTAGACTAAAAGTTTTAGGAATCCAAACAAAAACATATAATAAGTACCCTGTATCAAGATTGATGCAAAACAAGTGAAATTTGACCTTTTTAGAGAGGTTTAGAAAAAACAAAACCCACCTCTGGGGTCATTTGGGTATATTTGCCATATCTCTGGAACCTGTTGAGGTTTCCATATTAAGTTGAATAATTCAAACAAAAGTTAATATAATCAAATATAATCAAATAATAATCAAATATAATCAAATATATTCCTGTATAACCCACAATGAAAATGCATTATATTTCATGTTGTTCTATAATCACAGTATTTACAAACACAAGGGGTTTGGTAAATTGAGTTTAAGGCCTATTATAGTTTATCACTATGGGTGTCACTGTTTAAAGAGGGGAGACAGTTGTCAGCAAGCTGTGCACAGGAGACCCCTGACTCAATGGAAAAGTACTGAAGCCCCAAAATGGGTTTAGGCCATACCATAGGAGAATATGTCTGGACATGTCCAGTCCTGCACACCAGAGGCCATGACCTTTCCCCACATATATGGGTATGAAGGTGTGTCTTTGGTTTTCTGTCCCTGTGTGGAGCATAAAAGCACTGGTTGAGAGGGAGAAAGCTCCAGAGCGGGGGTTTTCCTTGGTAAGTTCTCTGAAATTGACTTTGATTTTGAATGTATTGTTTTAATGTGTTTTTTATCACCGACCATTTATGAGGATATTCCTCTAAATTCTGTCGGAAGAATTTAAAAAGGTACAATTTAAATGTCACAACTGAAGTGGGCCAGTTGAGGTTAGAATTTAAATGTCACAACTGAAGTGGGCCAGTTGAAGTTAGAATTTAAATGTCACAACTGAAGTGGGCCAGTTGAGGTTAGAATTTAAATGTCACAACTGAAGTGGGCCAGTTGAGGTTAGAATTTAATGTCACAACTGAAGTGGGCCAATTGAGGTTAGAATTTAAATGTCACAACTGAAGTGGGCCAGTTGAGGTTAGAATTTAAATGTCACAACTGAAGTGGGCCAGTTGAGGTTAGAATTTAAATGTCACAACTGAAGTGGGCCAGTTGAAGTTAGAATTTGAATGTCACAACTGAAGTGGGCCAGTTGAGGTTAGAATTTAAATGTCACAACTGAAGTGGGCCAGTTGAGGTTAGAATTTAATGTCACAACTGAAGTGGGCCAGTTGAGGTTAGAATTTGAATGTCACAACTGAAGTGGGCCAGTTGAAGTTAGAATTTAAATGTCACAACTGAAGTGGGCCAGTTGAGGTTAGAATTTAAATGTCACAACTGAAGTGGGCCAGTTGAGGTTAGAATTTAAATGTCACAACTGAAGTGGGCCAGTTGAAGTTAGAATTTGAATGTCACAACTGAAGTGGGCCAGTTGAGGTTAGAATTTAAATGTCACAACTGAAGTGGGCCAGTTGAAGTTAGAATTTGAATGTCACAACTGAAGTTGGTCAGTTGAAGTTAGAATTTAAATGTCACAACTGAAGTAGGCCAGTTGAGGTTAGAATTTAAATGTCACAACTGAGGTGGGCCAGTTGAAGTTAGAATGTAATGTCATAACTGAAGTGGGCCAGTTGAAGTTAGAATGTAATGTCACAACTGAGGTGGGCCAGTTGAAGTTAGAATGTAATGTCACAACTGAAGTGGGCCAGTTGAAGTTAGAATTTGAATGTCACAACTGAAGTGGGCCAGTTGAAGTTAGAATTTAAATGTCACAACTGAAGTGGGCCTGTTGAATTTAGAATTTAAATGTCACAACTGAGGTGGGCCAGTTGAACTTAGAATGTAATGTCACAACTGAAGTGGGCCAGTTGAAGTTAGAATTTAATGTAAGAAATGTAAAACTGTGAATTGAGATTTTATATTAGAAAAGGACCACAGCATGATATATTTGTATGATTGTCACATTGTAACGAGAGAAGGTAAAAACCCTGTAAAAGTGTGGACCATTTTCTTCAAATAAAATCATCCCACCTTTTTGGATTGGGATAACTTAAAAGAAATCTGCGCTCTCCTCTCCTGCTTAAAGGTAAGATTGCACAACTGCCACACTCACACTTAGGCAGGGCCACACCCCATTACTGATACCAGAATCCTTCGGGATCGCTTATACGGATTTAGTGCGTAGTCTGAATTGAAACAGCAGTTAATTGAACCTGGTTCTTCAGGAGTTAGTAGACCTTGCTGATCCAGGTGGGTCCGAGCCTGGCAGTAAACTTACATAGACTCAATAGCTTCTGTTAGGTCAATTAGTAGGTCTGAGTAATTGCCGGAATAAATTAACAGGCCTCCCGACTCCAACAAACCCATTGATC